AAGGCTTGAGGAAAATAACTAAAAATTCCAATGCGTAAGATTGCATAAGCGGTCTTATTTATGAAAAAGCACAAAACATGCCAGGCATACTTAAAACAGCTTTGAAAAATGAGGATTTCGGGTCACTCACTACACCTGTGTTATATTTGGTCCATCAACTTTTGGTAGTACTGTAGAAGAAATTCAGGAAAGGGTATAATCATGATTCATGATAAAATATTGGTATATATTTTGGACAACTTCAATCTAGACCAAACTCGCGCCCCAGAGAACTTCCAGTGCGGCCTCGAACGCTTAACAATAATTGTAATAGTATTTTGGAAGTTTTTTTTATCTAAATGTAACAGATTTTTCCAACTTTCTAAAGTGAAATTGAATATTCACACAGAAAACAATTTACTGAAAGTAGTTTTAAAAAAATAATTTTTTTTGTTCACATTTTAACCCATTCAAGAATACACATCAAGCTAGCAAAAGAATACTTGAATAAAACACTTGAGTGATTAAATTAAACGCAAAGTACATGAAGAAGGTGGCATTTTCGAAAAAAATGGGAGTTGCAATATTTCTGCATTTCACAAAATTCTCTGAAGCACATTGTTTAATTTGTCATATTTCCATCAGTACAATGAAAAAACACAATAAGCTTAGCAGTCAATATGACAAATTCGAAGACCAACTTCGAACAGAAAATTTCCATATGTTTGTATATTAATATAATTATACAACTTTTTTGTTACTAAATATCAATAATAATTCAAGCAATCCTATGCCATGCAATGTGGCGCGAAATGTCTTGTCGAAAAAATCTGTCATTTGTTTTTTTACTGATCTATACATGAAATGATAAAAGTAACTTTTTTGCATTACTGGAATTAATTAAACATTCGCAAAGATCCAGATTAACCCATGATCATGTGACCTCGGTAGTTAGAGTTGTTACTATAAAATTATTTCATCCTGGCCTTAGTATGCTGGTGACACAAAAAAGATGCCAAACGTCAGGACAAATGTAATTAAAAAACATTGAGTTTATATTGTAGTATTTTTGTTAATTTTAGGTTCATATATTTAGAGTAAGTCATTTTTTTAGTGTATGTATTATTCTTTCCTTATCCAAAGCTTGTTCAAAAATGATTTTGATGGTTGTACATAGAATTTTATGATTTTTTGTAATAAATACAGTAACTTGCAATAATGGTGGAATGCAAATAATAACATGAAATTGCATTTGAAATTAAAGAAAATAATAAAACTTAATCCAACTGTTTAGTTGCATCCTAATATATGTCACAAACTAAAAGTATCTTGAAAATATCTTTCAAGTATACATTATCAAAAACTGTTTGCGGCCCTTTTTACAATTTCCAACATGCAATGCGGCTCTCGAAAACCCATGAGTTTGACACCACTGATCTATTCTAGACAATTCAAGCATTGCTTTGGGAAATAATATCACTTCAATTAAATTGAAAAAAATCTTGCCGTATTAAATACAAAATCGTTGCTATCATAAAGGTAAACCAATTCAGCCACTGGGAATATATTGGCCTTCACAAAGCAATGGAGGCAAAATTGAGAGTTCATGAGCTATGAACTTTTGTTCTTTTTTTGTCTTGAACTTTTCATACTCCACAGCCCCTATTAATTTTATTTTTAATTACCATGTGATGGTCATACATATCTTTTAACTTGTATTTTCTGTAATGATGTATTATCTCAATGTGTCAAACTTTTAATTAGTGTGCATATTTTGCTTCCAGGTGACATAAATGTATTGTCTTGTTTATTACCTCAGCTTGAAGTATTGACAAGAAAAAGGTGTCAGTAAATTCTTTGTTATAATCAGAATTCACAATTAATAGGAATTATAAACAGCCACCAATCAATGAGAATTACATGCGAAATCCCTCACAATAAATTTGTCCAAAAAATTCACCTACTAAGGCAAGTTCGATAGGTGCAAACTTTGTGTTATGGAATTGTATCACAGCACCGTTAAGAGAAGTAAAAACAGTTTTGCTGTTTTGTATGACACCCTCTTTAAATGAAATTTCAATGTTTAAGCGCAAACATTAAAATTACTACCTTTGAACTTTGTTATTATCTGCAAAATGTCCCACACAAATCTTTACGCTATCGCGTTTGTAATCTTCTCTGATAAAAAAAAATCTATGATGTCCATTTTACTCTTTACAGCTTGTATGTCATTCCAGCTTTCCAAGTGAGCAAAACTTCTTAGATATAGAGATTATTTTCTTACGTTACAGGCGCAAAAAGGCAGGTACTAAATGTAAAGAGGACGCCGATTAGCAAAAGCAAGCGGAAAACGGTCGCGAAAGGCGACGAGAAATATGTGCATTGGAGCGTATCATGAAATACAATCTTTCGCATGTAGTCTTATGGAGTGACGTCAGAGTTGCCTATCATGTTGTTTAATGTCATTGGTCCAATTTAGGCCAACCGTGACGCGATATCGAACGGTCAGTTCCTCGACAACTTCGCCTTCCATGGATTGTCATGGCGACCTTTTCGGACGTATTTTTGATTCCTTTTCCACGGAACACTTCGAAGACGCGGAACACAGTTTGGGAAACGCTTCCATAGACAGCGGTTCCCAACCTTCTCTACCCTGGCGGACCCGTAAAATTAAATAAAATGACTCGCGAACCGGCAAAAAAATTGGAATGAGTGGAACAGAAAATAATAACTTATATATATATATTTGCGTAATATAATGCAATGTCGGGCACTCACTAAGCTTCTAGATAAAAAGGGCACACTTAATAATATTTCACATGACAAAAATCTATGAAATATTGTGCCGGTCAAAAACTGAAATGCGTGGAACACAAAATAATAAAATATGTTTGCGTAATAAAATGCAATGTCGGGCACTCATTATGCGTAAAAAGGAAACACAGAAAACATCTCACATAAAAAAAACATGTAGGGGAAGGTGAGACACGGGGCATAGAGGAAAATCAGCTCTCACACTCATACTATATCCGGTATCAGGTCTGCGGTTCGGTGAGTTACAACGACCATGCAAACGGTTAGCGACCGTGCAGAGCGACGCAAGTTATGAGATGAAATTGGTTTTGGAGGGTCGAAACTAAAATTTCGCCCTCTCAGTCTTTTATTTTTCTACTTTAGGCTTTGCAACAGGACAAATCACTGTCTGGTTCTTTTTTAGTTTTAGTTCATACTGAAATATATATTTATACCGTTGGCTAATGGGTGTGCGTTCTTAGTTTCGATGTGGGAAAATATTTGTTTCCTATTTGGGCTTGCCCCATTGGGCACAAAGTTGAACATTGATTTAAATTATGATTTTTGCTTTTGCTTATTTTAAAGGGCATATTCCGCTGAATTTAATAAACTGTCCCATTGTGCCCGCGGCCTGTTCGAATGATCCCCACAAGTGGGGTGCTGTTGAACGCTTTACAAATGTTTTTTAAAGCATTTTGGTGGCAAGATGTAGAGAATTTTTTAGTTGCTGAATAAAAACTACATTTACCCTTCTCTGCATTAGCCACGCGATGTCAAATGAATGTGCAGATTATAGGGCTCAAAAGAAACAAAGTGTCCCAACCATCCACACTTCCCCCTGCATGCTGAATCATGTACAAGCACAATTAACTCGATTGGCAATTTTCTGCTGTTTCTGCAATATATCAGTTGATCGACGCCTCAAACAAAATCAATTTACAATACAAATTATTTTACAAAGTCAAAGTCGTCGCTAACTTGACATCGCACAAGGCTCAAAATGCTGCTGTGTATCACCTGGAAAAGATCTCTACGATCCTTTCGTTGCGCGTCTCGCGACCACCCACAGGGTCGCAACAAGTTAATGATTATTTATTTACATATAGCCTACACAGTGGTGAGATTAAGCCGGTTCTATATGACCGTCTCACGGAATTTTGTTAGATCATCGAACCGGTTAGCATTAGGCTACTGGTTACTGTCAATGCTCTGTTTATAACAGAACCGGCGGAAAAAAACATGACTTTCCTGAAGGAACCGGCTGACAAAAAATTTGGATTAGTAGCCTACCTATAAGCGTCACGTGGTTTATTGGTTTGGACAAAAATGATAGATCGGTATATGTGAGCCAGTTTGTAATTGTCAACTTTTCAAAACACTCTCAAAAGCAACGTTGAACTTGACCAGGGGAACGCACATAGCCTACACGCCGTCATAATGTTTCGGGATGGTAATTTTGGGAAGTCAATGAGAGAGTAGCTCCACCACCTTATCCTAACCAATATGCCCAAAAGGCCCGGATTCAAAAATCACACGCTGTTTAAATAATTAACTTTCCAAATAAATCGGAACTAACCACGGCCTCCCCGAAACATTAACATAAAGAGAGGTTATATTTATATAAATATTCTGAAGCGTAAATGAATACAAATGAGCTTTTAGCACGAACAAAAAAATAAACAGAATATGTATAAACATATACGACGTAAAGCTGAAAAACATGTGGCTTATGCAACAAGGTCACCCTCGCAAAGATGTAAAAAAATGGAATTAATACTAGTTGCTCGGCTAGTTCTATCTGATCTAGTGGATCTTGTCGAGTGAATGTATAATTTTAAGATAAATAAAAATTGATTTAACGTTAGATACGGCCAGCTCCTCGAGAAAATTACTCAAAAAATACAAAATGAACAAATATGAAAATACTGTACTGTATTCCGCCTCGTAAGTCGGGACATGTGCTTATTTACCATTTAAAATTCTAAAGTATATTCTTGCGCAATATTTATTTCAATTGTTTGAGCTCATAAATTTTATGATAATTTATATAAATGTGTTATATTATGTCACTTATGTGTTATATTGCATCGCTATATTTCATACCTGATGCTGACTACTGGTTGTAAGAGCACAAATACAGGAAAATAGTACGATGAACAGCGGATGAATATGATGACGTAAACTACGTAATCAAGTAATTCTCATGACTTGCGTCATACACAAAGCCACTTCCTTCTCTTTTGACTCGCTGGACGGACTGTTTCGCTTTTCACCGCATATATTTATATAATTCAACGTTTGAATCGTTAACTTCAGTTCGAGAATCTTTTTAATTTATATTATTTATCATCATGCCAGGATACGGAGGAAGAGATGGACGTAGTGGGTGAGTATTTTTTTCTTATTACTGTTAATACAGAACCATAGATAACTTACTGACTTATCTGTAAATTTACAATACGCAACAGCGCAGTGTAACTTGGATTACAGAATTAGGATTATTCCAGGTAACAGAAGTCATACTGTCGTAGACTTCGAAGTCAGTAAGTTGAGATTTATACCATTATATCAAACCTCTGTATTGTAAATTAAAGAGCAGTGTTTCTGTCTTTGGCTTGAAAGACCGGAAGAATAAAAATGTCTGAATGTGGGGTCTCATGTAGTTTCGTAACTAGTGGACATAGCATAACGATTTTTGCACATGTGAATTCTAACCCAGTCAGACTACGCCATTCAAAAATTACATCACTGTCCACTGTACGGTAATTGCTGAATTGTTACATCAAATTTTATGTAATTCCTTTTATCACACAAAGCCTCTGGCACACAGAACTTTGATGTCAGACGATGTTTAATTTATATTATTTTCTCTCATTTCAGAGGTGGATATGGTGGAAGAGGAGGGGGCTATGGTGGCGGAGGATATGGAGGAGGTGGTCGCGGAAGAGGTGGTGGCGGCGGCGGTGGTGGTGGATATGGTTCACGTGATCGTTACGGTAGCAGTGGATATGGTAATCAGAATGGTGGTTCTAAATATGATGCCCCCGGACAAAATTTGAAGAAACCAAGATGGGAGATGGAGAAGTTAAAACCATTCCAAAAACATTTTTATACTGAATCACCATCGGTTTCAAATCGAAGTCAGGTTCGTTCATATATGGTATTTGCTTATAAATTATAATATTGTAATATTTCATGATTCATCATTTTTATTTGACATTGTCTTATAATACTTCCTTCATTACAGGTCGAGATTGATAGATTTTATAACGAAAAAGGAGTCACTGTTGTGGGTGAAAATGTAAAGCATCCAATATTTCATTTTCAAGAAGCTGGTTTTCCAGGTATGGTAAAAAATATTTACATTAATTTGTAAAACTTAATGTAATTTCTAACTTAATTTTTCTTTTAATTCCAGACTACATCAACACCATGATAATGCAAGCAGGTTTTGAGAGACCAACTTCAATTCAGTCAATCGGCTGGCCACATGCATTAAGTGGAACAGATTTGGTCGGCATCGCTCAGACTGGTTCAGGAAAAACTTTAGCTGTACGTTGATATACTTTATTGTAAAGTGCCAAATGTCGGAACTTTATTGATTCATTTTTTTTATTTTGTTTCAGTTCATATTGCCAGCCATCATTCACATAAATGCACAACCTTATTTGGAAAGAGGAGATGGACCAATTGTAAGTCATGAATAATGCATTTTATCTCAACCATGTATATACATGCTCATCTCTCGTCTTAGTTGTATATTCTATATTCTTTTATTCGAAGGCACTTGTTCTTTGCCCAACGAGAGAGCTTGCACAGCAAGTCCAAGTTGTTGCTAATGAATTCGGGAAGACGTCTCACATCAAAAATACTTGCGTTTACGGTGGTGCTTCAAAAGGACCTCAAATACGAGACCTCGAAAGAGGTAAGAGTTGCTATTTTATTTCTTTTACACATTTTATATTAAATTTCATTTGTTATTATTATTTTTAAGCACCATTTTCTTTTTAGGCTGTGAGATTGTGATTGCTACACCCGGTCGTCTTATTGACTTTCTGGAGTCACACAAAACAAATCTACGAAGATGTACATATCTAGTATTGGATGAAGCTGATCGTATGTTGGACATGGGTTTTGAACCACAAATTAGGAAAATTATAGAACAGATTAGAGTGAGTATTTCTATCTGTTCTTTTTTGCGAGTTCTTTTATCAGTTTTTATAACTCTTGACAAAAACATTTTTCAGCCCGACAGACAAACTCTTATGTGGAGTGCTACATGGCCGAAAGAAGTCAGAAAGATGGCTGAAGATTACTTGACTGAATATGTTCATGTACAGGTTCGTAAAAGCAGATTCAAATCTGTTTGAAAAGAATTAGTAATGTTTTATAACAACCTTTCCTTCCTTCAACTTCCCTAGGTTGGATCACTTAATCTTGCAGCTAATCATAATATCCTCCAAATCGTGGACGTGTGTCAATCGTATGAAAAGGAAGACAAGTATGGCTCTTTCAAATACTGTATTTTTTTAGTAATAACTACTAGTGCTCAATAGGAATGTTTAATAAGCAATAGGTTCTAGTGAAATTACAGATTCTTCTTTTTGGATAATATAAACGCTGTCCAATTTAATTTTAGTGAATAAATTCTTTGTGATCAAGATGTAACAAATTTTAATTCATAATTGAATGGATAACTTGAATTTCTGAGTGGTGTGATAACATTCGAATAATGTGATGTCGATGTCATATTTATACCAAAGAATTTGTCTCACATTTAATGCCAAGCATTTTGAAATAATGTCAGTACCAGTTTGACTTGTTGATTTCTTGTATAATTTAAATGCACTTTTTCAAACCTATGCAGTTAGTAATGAAAATAAATTTTTAGGTTGATGAGACTGCTTGAGGAAATCATGGCCGAATCTGAAAACAAGACTATCATTTTCACCGAAACGAAGAAAAGATGTGATGAATTGACAAGAAGAATGCGCCGTGATGGTTGGCCAACAATGTGTATACACGGAGACAAATCACAACCAGAGCGTGACTGGGTCTTGAATGGTAGGTTTACATTGGCAGCGGAATAAAATGTCATAATGTGTTGACTGTTGACACATAGTCATAAATTCCAGTTATATCAGGCTATTTTATTCTTTTTTAGAATTCCGTACAGGAAAATCGCCAATTCTTGTCGCTACAGATGTTGCCTCACGTGGATTGGGTTTGTACAACATTGATTTATGGATGGATGAATACTATTTGAATGTGTACCGGCTAATGAATTGAATTGTCACATTTATTAACTGTTATTCTTTTCTCTTCCATACAGCAATTTGATTTGATGTGTCTGCGGCAGGAATATTGGCATGGCCAAAGAGTGGAGTATCAACGGGAGGCTTTTTCTTCAACGCTTGTCTACCCTCAATTACTCATTCTAATCCTTACCCAAGCTATTTGAGTTTTAACCCAGTAATCATCACCATATTTTTTTAAATCAAAATGGTGGTGGGGTCACTGGAGCTAAAAATTACATGACGATTAAATTATTACCCAATACCTTTTCAACCTTCAATCTGATCCCACACGAATATGGCTTATGACAGTCTATGAAATTGGAACGAGTCATGATTGTCATGCCTGCCAAGCGCCAATAGGAGGTTAACGCGGCAAGAAATGCCGGTGTGGCCTCGTGACATAAAAATGCGGCGTTGCCTCCCAAATATTCTTTACGATCAAGTCATGCTGGTACCTGCCGATGGAACATCCTGTCTCTTTTATGGAAGGGCCGGTAATGGTTTTGTCTGATTTTTTTTCATTATTATTTTTGTTTGTCCTTTATGTGGATGTCTACAACTGTCACTCTGCATTGCTGTAAACAATGTAAATTGATTAACTCGTTTGTTCTGCCTTAACCAGATGTGTCCGATGTCAAGTTTGTCATAAACTTCGACTTCCCTTCTCAATGTGAAGATTACGTTCATAGAATTGGAAGAACAGCGAGAGCTGATCAAACTGGAACGGCTTACACTTTCTTTACTTATGTGAGTATTGTGAAATAAAATTATAGGCCTTGGTTATGTAGTTTCACTCATCTGTAGCGATTTTCCTAAATTTTATCGTTTAATTTTACAGGACAATTCCAAACAGGCCTCTGAGTTGGTCAATATTTTGCGGGAAGCGAAGCAGCAAGTCCATCCTAAATTGGTTGAATTAGCTGAACAATGGCGAAGATTTGGCAAAGGTGGAAAAAGTGAGAGTTCATTTTGGCCATAATAAAATATGGACGACTGTTAATAATATTGATAACATCGTTTTCTAGGTTACGGCAGATATGGAGATCGAAGTGGCGGAAGGTTTGTGGTCTTTACTTGTTTTGCATTTACAAGCATTTAGCTAGACTGTTTTAATTTAATCATTTATTAAATTTTTTTGCAGAGGTGGTGGCCGTGGAGGTAGAGGTGGGGGATATGGTAACAAAGGTGGTTACGGTGGACGAAGCCAGGTTGGTACAATTTCATAATGTAAATTTGAACTATTTTGAAACATGCAAAATTCTGATCCAATTTTAAATTTCAGAATGGCTACAGTTCTGGGCCAGTGAATCCGAGGGCTGCCCAGTCCTACGGCATGTCTCTCGGTGGTGGACAAAATGGCGGTGGAATGATGATGATGCCTGGTGGTCCAGTTCCTTTGTCCCGTTGAATATATTATCTCTTTGGTGACAGCTTAATGAAAAAGTCTGTGAAGTATAGACTCGCGAGTGTGCTCCCCCAGAGCAAGCATCTTTTCTAATATTCATTCTTCGTCGTTTTTATTCTTCTGTTATAAAGTAATTCCCATTGCGACTGCTGTTTTATTTATTTCCCGCATGCTCCAGGTTCACTCCTGCATGTTGCTGTAGGTTGTAGTCCCCTGTTCACCCACTATTTGGTGTCCACACTTTTAAATACATGTATTGTTTTTACCCAATTCGCTAAGAAATAAAAGGCTTTTCGTGTACATATCATCCTTGTGCTTTTTCTTTAAGGCTTCATGAAGTTTGATTGGCAGCTTTTTCAGTTATGTCGCTATTTGATGTATGAAATTGTGGAATTTCTAGCTGGTCTAATTGGTTCGCTGTATAATTTTGAACATTCCTTGATAATAGTCCTAAAGCTATTAGTCCTATGGACTTTTTTGATCATGTGATAGTACTCTGGAGATTTGTTTGGGGAAGCGAAAGTACATAAGCTAAATGGAACCTGGGTTATATAAGTTTTTTTAATCATTCAGATCCAATAGTGACCCTTGTTCCACAAAATAGCAAGCATGGAGGATTTCGCGAGAATCCGGTCTTTTTCAGACTATGATCTAACGAAACAATTGCTAATCATGGAAAAAGATTTTTATATTCTTTTTATCTACCACAAATTTTATAATCTAAATGTTATCTGGCCTACCATAACTAATATACAACCTTGTAATGAATATTTTCAAGAGTACAAGATATAAATCTATGTATTTACAATGAACAAGACAACCAATATATAAAAATTCTTGACTGCAGCAAATTATTATTTTATGCTAGCAATCATGAACATTTCCAAACAGTGATTGCTGTACTACCAGCAAAAAACATATATAAAATGTTCTTCATTTCATGAGTGATTTCAAAACCATAACCTTCCCCGACAATTGCGTGCCATGATGATCCAAACTTCTTGTCCATACTTTCTTTAATCATTTTGGCGGCATTCTTGAAAGAAAGTAGACAAAGCGTTTTTTTTTCATATTTGACATATTGTTAATTTGAGAGTTGGTTGGTAAGAGTCGCAGTTTTTATAGTATATAGAATATTTAAATTGATAAGGATTTGCAAAATCAATTCAACCCTGTTTTTTATTCCACATAATTCGAAACGAGTATAGCCTATAGATTGTGGAGTTCACATAGACACATGTTTTTATAATACCACACAATATAGTGTTCTGTACAAAAGCTAGTAAATAAAAAATACAGCCATGGTCAAAAGAGGAAAACAAGGGTTATAGCCATTGAAAATAAAACTGTAAAAGGCAAATGAGAAGTCCCTATCTACACATGTTTAGTAAATTTAGGTAAGTTACCGTACCTCGTTGTTGGCGGCAAATTTTTCACATGCTGTTACACATAATTCCATTGCTTCTACTCTCATTTCTTCAGGCATATCAGTGTGCTGGAATAAAGTGAAAGGCAAAAGGGGTGTGTTATTACTACCACGGTACCGGTAGGGCACCAGGCTAAAATATGTTTAAATTGACTCACCCTAATTAGAGGGTAACTATGTAGCCTTCTGTAGTCATGAGCTTCTTCTTTTTTCGTTTCAGCTGCTTCCGTCATGTTCAAATTTCAAGAATTATTACAGAAATATCAAAAACCAGGCGAAAACGAACGAAACGACCACTGAAGCCGTCAATCACTGAAGCGAGTCTGTTGTTATGACGATAACGTAAATTTTATGGCTCCTAAGTAAAAACACGGTAATATTATAAAAGACTAAACTAAATAAATCAACAAATTGTTTAAATACAATTTATTATTTTCAATACTTTTCATTTTTTTTGGAATTATATCCGACATTCTCTTTTCCGAACAGATAAGTCCCGATTCGTTGTCTTCTGCTGGCAACAGAAGACGGCGGTCAGTAGACTATCCTGTCGTTGGCTTCGTCACTCCCGTGCTGTTGTTGATTGCGCAGAAATGAATGGATCTGGGACTTCCCTAACTGATATCAAGATTTTACTTGATTTTTTAAAGCAGGATGTTTCTGCGTCAGGTTCCGAACAAGCCCAAATTACCAGCTTACAAGCTTTATCAAGCATGTGCTCGAAAGAAGGTGAGTGATTTGTTGCTTGCGGCTAACCTTCTTGAAAATCAACACTCATATTTGGAATTACGCTGTAAATGTAAAATAACTGCAGTTACGAAAATCCTGGAAAAGTTCAGTTCTTCAATTCTTATTCAGCTTGAATATCAATTTTAAAATCTAGTTGTTAAAAGTATGTAGGCTACTACCAGTACCGTTAGGCCTGCTACCTTTGCCAGTATTCGTGAAATATACCCGCTTTAAATTTGATTCAACAATTTTAAGATTTTAACCTATTGACGAATATTTCGTACAAGTTAATAGTTGTAATTCCATTTCTCGGTTGATATCTTAAGCTTCAATAACATATTAAACGAACTTAATTCGCCACGAGCTATTTCGATGTTTTCATTGCAGTTTCTGAACTCATCATGCAATGCGGTGGACTGAATATAATGTGGAAACTGTGTGGTACAACGAAATGCCCAGAAGTTTGTCAGTCATGCTTGTATACTTTAGCTTGCGTATCAGAAAGTAACGGTGAGGCTGTTTAATTTGATTGTTACAGAACACTCATAATCACCACCCACCATCTTTTTTTTTGCAAATGTAAACCGTAATTACCAAATTACTCAACATCGTGATAAATATCGGAGAATTCTGAATTATAGAGTTAACGCTGTACATTATGAATGACAGACTTTTCCAATGACTGGCTTTATAAGATTAAATCTGTCAAATGATATGAATTGGCCAGAACGGAAAATAAGGGTATAGTAATAATTGCCTTCATACCCTTACAGTTGACCATCATATTCATAACCATATCATCATGTATTGTAAAACAACTATCCTTCCATCGGTGAATAGCGGCAGTGAGGTTTGAATTGTTATTTGAAAATTTCGGAGCAGATTGGTGGCGAGCGGGGTTTGTTCACCGGGTCAGACAGTTTTTTTTAGGTGCTGCGACACTGGGTTTAAAAAATGAAAGACTCCTGGAATGGTTAAATGTTGCACTCTCTTATACTTTGTTGGAAGAAACGAAAGATTTAATCCTTAAGTGTTTGGTGATATATATATGAATTTCGGTAATATTTATCATTTTAGTCCATGTGAAACATGCACTATCCACAAAGGGAGTTTTCGGCAGCATTAAATCAATATTAGAGGAATCAGATATCCCAGATCGTACACGGTTGTTCGCTATATATTTTTTGATACCTCTCGTTACCGGAAACGGTAAGTTTTGAATAGTAACATTGACAGATTTGAATACCGACATATCATAACTAAATTTATTTTCTAACCAGAATTCGGACAAAATCTGATAAAAAGTTCAGGATGTTTGCAAACTTTGCTCAGTATATTTGTGTAAGTATGTTTCATAAAGTATTCAAAAATACATCACTAGTTTATTTTTTTTATTCAAACTGAAAAAAACACACTAAAATGAATCGTGTGGCGTTTTAAGGTGAAAAGAGGCACAAAACAACTATTATTGGATATCGAGCAGCGACGATCTTATTTAACTTTTTCCAATATAAATGACTTCAAAAAATGTCTTTTTTACGTTTTTTGCTTACAGTTCGGGTGTGCAACTAATTACTTGTGGGAAGTTGCTGAAACAGAATTGCCAGCGTGAAGTGTGGATGTTGTCAGCCAAAGTTTTACGGCTTTGTGTGGGGTCGCCTCAAAATAGTGAGTGTCGTTTGTGAAAATACTATAGTTACTTTGAAACATCTAGAAAAATACGATTTAAACGTGCCTGCGATGTGGCGCCTCGTGCTAAGCGTTAGGAATACGTTCGACTCCTGATTAACCTGCCTGGTTTTGCTGCTTCGTGGGAATAAATATGTGAGAGGGGATTGTTGGACTCCACGTGCCCTAGAGTGGTTCACGTAAATGCTGTTCGGTTGCGGCTTCCTCCACCATCAAGTCTATATATCTGAAACAAATACCTCCTTAGCTAATCCAATGCCCGACATTGACTGGTAACCTGACCATAGGCCGTGGTTCGCCATATAATTGAGCAGTCTCAAAGGAATCCCTCTCCCCCGGGTTAAATATATAAATCCTATTCTAAGATTAGGAGAGTCGGAAATAGACCTTAGTTCTTTAGAAACCATCACAAGCGGGAAAATGATTGTGGCATAAAAAAATCATCGTTTTTATTGATATGATTTTTTTGAGTACCACCCGATATTTTTAACATGATAAACGCAGACGATTACTTTCTCAGGGCAAAACGTTAGCAGAATGTCATGGTTTACGGCAGCCATGTTCAACGCAAATGTCTTCTGCGGTCGCAAATAATATTCCAGTTTTCCACGCGCCGCATATTGTAAAACGTGTCCCACCTCATAAATTACAGTCCAATTTTTGTGAAATATGACAAATGTAAAGAGCAATGGATGGTTTCAAAAAGAAATAGGATAAAGAGTTATCCAGATAGTACGAATTTTTGAATGTCATTTCCACGCTTTTTAATATCGACTGGGATCTTTGATGCTGTTTCATGTAATTGGTCAGTCATATAATCATATTTGACAATTTTCAAGATTTAAGCAAATATACAGCTGACTTCAGTAATAGGTTGTGATTGACCGTAGAGAAGCATTTTGCTTCACCTTCAAAGAGGTTTCTTTATTGTGCGTAATTTCATGAGGCACTGTATAATACCCGATGTTAAAATTGTGCTGTTCATGTCACTTTAATTTTTTCCGTGTGGAACGGGTTTAAATTACGGTGGTAAATTCTCATAACCATAATATTTACAGAAACAAATCAGATGTCATGTATCGAATACATACCACATATAATCACGATAATCCACGAAGCAAAGGGAGATGAGGAGATCGTACTCCATGCATGTCAATTTTTTGCCGCAGTTGTGGAAAACAATCGTAAGAAATTTGAATTACACTACTGGCATTTTGTTCTCTTTTAAACATAGTGTAGCGAAGCATCAACTGAAGATGGCCGTATAGTTCATTATTATTCAATCTGGTGCGTCAGCAGTCGGAGATTGACGTGTTTCCGCCGGAGAAATGAAAATAAATCAAAACTTCCTGCTGAAAAATTTTAATTTTACCCAGCTTTACTGATAGTCTATCGAAGAAGGCTTGCATGCGTCTTTCGAAGTCTAGTCCTGCAGCCGGAGTCGAAAATTTTCACAACCCGTAGGCGGAGTCAAATTTTTCCTTGATCCGGAGTTGGAAGCAAAATTCTTTTCAATCCGTATGTTAGTGTTGATGTTAATTTATTTTCTCTTCAACATGCGGACTTATGACTCACACAATGTTGTAGTAATATATAAACCTCTTGCGGATTTGAATTGGAGCCATTGAGTCAGAGTCGGAGTCATAATTCCAAACTTGTCGGAGTCGGACTTTGGCATTGGAGTCGGAACCGGAATCATGAAGTGCAAGCATCAAAACAAGCTGAAGTTGGAAATCATTTCCTATAATCGCAATGCAATTTTGTTTAAATTGTGTACTTTTTTCGTTTATATACCGTTATTTCATTTCCGTAACTGACAAGTTATGCTTGTACTTTCAGAACGTTGCAAGAAAAAGTCTTTCTCATGTCGCGCTCTTGAAGTTCTTGTCCTCGCTATACAATCGTGTTCGAATGAAAAACTAGATAAAGTTTCGGGAGAAATAGTTATATGTTTGAATAATTTTCTGGAAGATTCAAGTTGGTATTTTTTTGTTTTTCGAAGGAGATGTTTATCATATAATTAACATTCGCTGATTCTCTATTCTATTTATTCTCATAATATTTTTCATGTCCCTGGTTTCCGAGTTCTCAACTAAAATGGCAGAGTACTGATAGGAGCGGAATGGAACTTTTAGTGCCCCGTGCTAGTCGCTGCTTTAACAATTTTTAACTTTCAACTTTCATTGAAACAGGTTCATAAAATATAAAAAGGAATTTTTTATTTCTCACAATCATAAATACAGTATTATTTGTAATAGAAATAACATAGAATTTTAACTGGTATACTGTATTGTAATTTTGTCCATTAAGACTCGCCAAATCAGCTGGCGTCGAGTGTTCCATACCCGAATAGTATATTTGTAAGCGGCCATTGGCTTCATAGAGTCTATATAAGGATATCTTCGTTATATATTATTCGAAATTCACTTATTTATTGACATACGACACGCTATGTATTTACAATAATACCGTTTTCTTTTAGAGGAATACTGCGAAAGATTCGGAAAATTGGGAGGAATTGGAATATTACTTCGTATAGTAGATTCTGATAATATACATTTGACATCTCGTCATCGGAGTCTTCTATTGATGATCTTAAAAAGTTGTGCGGAAAATTCAGGTTTGATAGGACTCAAATCGATAATACTTTTATCGCTGTATTATTGATTTTACCCATATTTGATGCCGTGATATAAATAATAAATATGGCGATCTTACTTTAACAATGACAAAAGTTGGAGCATACTATTGTATAACTGGTCGGAGTTTTGTGTACCTAATTACTCCTAATTTCCTATGATGTTGTATTATTGACTCTATGTTTCCTGAAAGCATGCATACCAGCGTTTCTCAAAGGGTGCGCCGCGTCGATTTGCTAAGAGCGCCTTGAAAATTAATAGAATTGTGTTAAACATAATGCTGTTTATATAAATCGATAAATTCATTTTACCTTTCTATGTCGTTTGCATTTTGTAGCGTAGTGTCTTCCCCTATTTTACGATTTCGTGAGCTGCAGTTTATTTATCTTCGGAACCGAGTTTATCGAATATGAGTGATTTTTTAGTATTTCAAAGGAAAATCAGGCAGAGATGAGGAAGAGGAGTCGACCTTTTGCTTTTATTTCTTAGGCCTACATTTTACAAACTTTAAAATGCTTAAAGTACACATTAACGATCACAAAATTGAGTTCTTTTTAAAGACAGCAATTTTGTTCCGTGTAAGTTTGGGAACCGCCGAATTGTATACTATAACAGTAATCGAGTTCATTTTGCGTCACGATTCCACATATTTTCTTCTGTAAGCCGTAAGGGGTCTATCTTATTCCAACAACGATATTAAATAAACATATATTTGATTAAGTTTTTCATATTTTCATCTCATTATTAACCAATCAACTTCGTATTTTACTTTATCATATTCACGGCTTCGAACAAGGCCTTGTACTAGAATAAATTGAATACTAATGACTAACGATATTTAATCGGCCAAAATATAAGAAATCATATGAAGAATAGCAATCCAACACTATGGAGATAATATTTCGTGTGGTGGCCGAAATATACAAGACGGCGAAATAATGTCCAACATGTTCCACACGGCGGAATTCTTATTTATCCTGTCCTCACAATATAATATAGAATGGGAATAAGTTTATTAACTAGTTGTTTGTACCATTTTAGAAGCGGCCCAGCGGAAGCTGATAGAGTACAACGCTGCGTCGACGATAGTCCATCTAATGAACACTGTACAAGACGATGAACATTTCAACAAAATCGCAGCATCTGTTTTAAATTATTGCATGCGAGATTTGAAAGGTGACTAGTATTTTATTCGAATTTTTTTGTGCCCATCACAACTGCTTGTGATATCAGCTCAGCTAAATTTAATGCTTTAACCTCTTGGCCATTGCGGTCATTTTACTTGGAGCAGAACCCAACTGACTTTAAGGTTATCTCAACTTTCTATCTTTAACAAATTTATAAATAATTTTCTGGCGTTAGATGTGCCCGATCGATATGAAAAAGAAGTCAATGATAGTGACGAAGCAGACGACACCTCGTCGACGAAAAGTTCAACAGATCATGAATGTGCGAAGAAAGATACTAATAATAAATATGGAGTAAGTGAGAAGCTTATTGTATGCCACATGTTGCAAAATGTTCTTAATTAAATAGCACAATAATAAAATCTTATTTGAAGAAAAAAAAATTTTTTCATGCAGTTATTCATATTTAGGAGAATTGGTAAATAGAGGGACATGCACTTATAATCGAAAATTCGAATTAACTGTTTACTTATTTAACTCAGATCAGACCGTGCCTTGATTAGGCCATGTCAATTTCTAATACACCAAAAAGTGTAAAAGCGCTCGAATGTTCGTGATTGTTGCAACTGGCATGCTTAGTTTTTCCAACGGCAGCATCATATGGAACAAGTTTTTTTTTATCTGTGTTAACTGATTTTCACCCATGTAAATCCCATGTTCATAAGTCACATTATTTGTTTGTTTTCTAGTTTCTGAATCCTGGGAAAACACAAGTTGATCGAGAATGTTTCGACCTTGTTAACGGAGGTGGAAGTTGTATATCTGAAGTGATAGAGAAACAACAAACTCAAATTGATCTTCTGAATAAGCTATTGTTGCAGGTACATAGTATACAGTATATATTGTCTGTTTTTATATTTTTCTATAGTGAAACATATCATCAGTTCGATGTGATTTGTAAGTAACTCGTTTTTATTTTTTTAGGAAAGAGATAAAAGAATTGAAAACGAGAAAACTTTGTCGGCGATCGTGAATTCGAACGCAATGTCTGTTTGTGGCAAGTATAAAATAGATTAATGTATTGTGGAAATGGAGTGTACTTATTGATGGTTTTGCTGAATTGTTGTTCTTGTTGTTGTTGTGGTTCTCCACAAACAACGTACCAGTAATTTTCAGATTTTCATTACTTACAAACGACAGAACAAATTGTTAAAAGGCTATTTTCATTCTTTCCAACAAATTCCACCGGTTTTCAATATCTCACTCCATATTTTTTTGCTGTTTTTCATTATTCACCCGCAGATCACAATATAGCATTAGGTAGAAGTAATTTAACGTTTTGCTGACATCGCTATAGTCATATAATCATTTAACTTTCGTCCCCACACATTGGAGCATAACTCCCTTGATATGATCAATATCAGGGCGGGCAAGATTTTTGAACCAGGAGCCAAAAATTCGACCCACTTACATTGGCAAAAAAGTTACGTTTCATGAACAATATTTACAGTGTTACAAAAGCAAAAGTGGAAAACAACAAGCCCCATGTTACAACTAATTTTAATCGCAATCTCAACAAATTCCTTGATCCCTATTTGAGCTCTTTGGTTTTAGTTTGGTTGTAGCAGCATCAGGTGGGCCAGATTGAATTACCTAAAGGGCCGTATTTTGCCCATGTCAGATCTATCATATACTCATCATACCCCAAAGCAGGGTGGTCCAAGGTTGTCGGTTCCGCGGGCCACAAAATTATATTTGCATTGTTCGCGGGCCACAATAGTGCCAAGAATAGGTAAACAGTGCAATACAAAACAAACACCTTTATTGTGCAAACACATAGTTATCAGGCATAGTCATTCTAGGCTAATAGAATCTGCATTCGATTTTTAGTTTTCTATGATGCCTATATTGTTTGCATATATTCCCGACCAAAAAGTTAAAAAGCCAGATAACAATTTAGACCGCCAAGCACATCATTCAACTTTGCTAGTTTTCCCAGCTATCCATAACACTATTCAATTCAGTGACAATAGTGATGACAATACGTCAAAAGATTTTTCTGATTAATTTTATGACGAAACAACACGAAATGCGATTTTTCGATTACTCTCCGAATGTGAAGCGGACACAGATAATGAAGCGGCGGGCCACATGTGGCCCGCGGGCCTGGGTTTGGACCACCCTGCCCTAAAGTTAAAATAATAAAATACTCGAACATGAAATTCATTTTAGGAAGCACAATCTTGAGTCCCCCAGGGTCGTGTTTTAGGTCCTATCATTTACCTCTTCAATCTATGAGTGTTCGTCGATGTCGGAGCAGATCTTGGTCTATTGCAAGCGCACCGATCAAAAAACAGTCGAAACGTTTTCAAGACACATTCGACAGAGAAAAAACGAGATCTTTTTCAAGAGGAAGTAAATTATTATACAACAAACAGCATTCTAGAAACTATGGTATGAGCAAGTTTACTTTTGAAAAGCCGAATTAAGTAGTGTTATTGTTTGAGTTTGATACAGAGGTTTAGTTTATTTAGCGCGTTGCCTCAGTGGAATACAAAAGCCCTCAGTCATTTTTAAAAGGGACTTGAAATTTTATAACTTTCCAGTCAATCCAGGTTTTTTATTTTTCCTGTGCCCCCTTTTAACACGAGATTGGCCTCAAACTGTCAAAAATTAGCGTCAAATGTACAATTTTTCAGTTTCACGCAAATGAAAACGAGGTACAAGGGAAAATAAGTCACAATCATGAGCCAAAAAATTCAATCACGTAACATCTTAGTATTCATCAATTTTCATGTGTATATTTTCCACAGATACGGCGTCAACGAGTCAAAATCTTTTGACGTCGACTATTTTGGCATCGCCGGATAAACCAAATTCTGTAACTCCCCACTTCATATCTCCTGATTTCAACGTTACAGATAAATTCCAGAATTTACAAGATAACATTTCTGTTAAACAAACAGAAGATCAAGGAAGTCAAATAGACATGGGTATTTCTTATAAAGTATAAAGAATAATATCCGCACTTATGATTTCTTTGATTCGAATATGCATCACCGACAATTTCTTTTTTGCTTTGGCTATATGAAATTCCACACAGAACATTCCTAAACACCTCTAAAATATGACGTTATATAAGAATTTGTTGTTCTCAACAAATGCCTATTTCAATGATTATTGTTGTTGAGATAAGGCTTGTTGTCCTTCACTTCCAAAATAAAAGTATTTAATAGTAATATAAAATTTTTGTATTGATGAATCTGAACAATATTCCAAATAGACTGCCACAGAATATATATAATTAGCGATTAAATTTATATTTAGGAATAATACAACATATTCCTGAATCTCCAGATGGAAGCATTATTGACATTGAAAGTTATACACCAAAGAAGCCAAAAAAGGTATTTTAGCAATATTGAAATCATTTATGAATCAGTACGTAAACGTTGATCTATTTTATTTATGTTTCACCACCATGGTTACGATTTTCTATTAGTTGTTAACATTTTAAAGGGTGGCAATTCGAAAAATTTTAATTTTAATGCAGATCTTCAAAGAAAAAGGGGCGATGACGAAATACTATGTTAAAGAGAACGATAAAATTAGTCAGCATGTGTCAGGATCAAAAACATCGTCAATTCATCAGCGATCTAACTCAGAAGGATTGCAGATGATAAAAGAGAAACGTTTAAATAAAAGCCCAGAAGCTGATGGTATGAGTGCATTTCCGCCCCTCTATCTCGAATGAACTATAGGTCGGCTATCCTCCTCACGTTCTCACGTAATGATCGAGCTGTTTTATTGAATTTACTCTACGTAATGCTAATTGTAAAATATCACTCAAGACTCGCTTTTTTACATAGACCTTACGTAGACCACCGCAGCAAATGGGTAACGTACAGTGCAGCTGACGAGTATAGCGTATTATTCGACGTTATTCAAATATTATGTATAAGATGGTTTGTGTAGAGCCCCGTCATGTTAGTGCAGTTTAAGTAGAGAAATAATACATTTTTCAAAATGAGGGAACCTGTTGTTAGTGTTTCGATACTAAAGAGGACCTGTTCATAAAATCTTGAATTAGATCGCTGAATATAGTACAGTATAGTATACATCAGAAATATTGTGACAATGTTTTTCGAGTGATTGAGTTTTTAGAGTTTTTAAATTCTATTCAGACAATTTAATGTCAGTGTGTAGCGAGATTCTGAAGGAGGAAATTAAGAAAGCAAAGAGACGTGTTCGTTCACAAAGCTGTAGTTCAATGAAGTCGAGCCCTCGGGTTTTAAGAAGTAAGATTGAAGAGTTGAATATTTGATTTTTGAATTTGCAGATTGAGTTACAGATTAATATATCTGCTTTATTTCTGCTATAGGTCGCAAAATTGACAAGGAAGTACAGTGCAGTGAGGAAGACGTGTATTCATATAAAGATTCTCCGACTGATTTTGATTTCAAGAAGGTACTATACTATATAATAGAACCAGTGCCGGATCGTGGCCTTTAGAGGCCCTAAGCCAGGGGTTCCCAAGCTTTTTTCAGGACGCCCCCAAGGACAACTTTCAAGCGTCCAGTGCGACCCCATGTCAATATATATATTTTTCATGTAACTTTAGAGCTTCTTTCACTGTACTTTTGAGTTTGGTCATGTGGTGGTATTAAGTAAAAGAAGCTAAAATCAAACAGTGATGTCACAATAAGCACGTACATTTTCTATAGCATAAGCAGCCATGGAGCGATGCTTATGGGCCTGTTTTACAGGAAGCCATGGTACAAACTGCTATATTTAACATGGTTTGTCAAATCTTAGATGATTTGTACATCCTCTACCATACCTCTGCGACCCTACCTACTTATCCCTCCGACCCAATTTGGGGCGCGACCCCTGGTTTGGGAACCCCTGCCCTAAGCACTCAAGACTTTGGTGCCCTATATATAAAATATTATAATGGGAATGTGTTACGTGTTATCTGAAATTGAAAATAAGTTTCAGTATTCATTACTGAAGGCCAAATTGTTATTAATTTACATATTTTCCAAAAATAGTTCTCATCCCTATATAAACATTTAGGATGATACTTGAGAAAGAAAAAAAAAGGCAAAATTTATTTCAACCGTGCCAATATGGGGGTCTGAATCGCTTGACCAATTAGACCAATCAAGCAATTTTATTTCGATCACTTTGACATAAAACAAAACATCATGAAACAAAAAAACAACAAACGGTCAAACAAAATGCAGAGGCTCCGAAGGACGGGCATAAATTCAAGGAACGGTCATAACTTAAGTTAAAAGACGTACAAATACGCGCCCGTCAACCAAAAACAGTTAAAGAACATGATAAAATAATCACACACAATACAAAATCGGGCGATAACTTTTCAATTAATTTAAGATGTGAAAACAGTGATCAAAAGAAGAACAGGGCAACAAACTAGACTTAAAAAAATTTTGTGGCCGCCGTTGTCATAAGGTGTAATGGCACTATTAAGAACTGGGCTGTGGAAATTTCTGTGATCCTCATTTTCCTTGGTGTCCCAAGCACCTGCTTCTTTTACTTAATGGTTAAATCATCCATGACCACAGCATCTTTGCATTATTATATGCCTTCGAATCCAGTACTCCTACAACTAAATACAGTTAGTCTCGCGCTGTAACCCAAACTAATACCTTCAGTGAAATCAAATAATAACAATATTGAAGTTACGGCGAAATGCTATTTAAACGTTGAACGATTGGCGCTTTTTAACAGTATTGCTGTTAGAAAGCGTCAGTCATTAGTGGCATTTCACCGTAACTTAAAAAAAAACGGTGAAATGCCATTTAAAGGTTGAACGACTGACGCCACAAACTTCCTATTATTGATTGTAATGTGGATTTGAATTGTGAGCGCCACTCCGGATATCAATATTATTGTTAAACTTATGATGAATGACAGTTTTTATGCTGCATGATTCGAACAAATAAGTATTTGAATCTGTAATCACGTTTTTTCTGTGTTTAGATGAAATCATACACGATTTTGTTTTCTAAAATACTGAATTCATTAGTGTCGAAAGTTGTTGAAATGTTTTTACATTGAGACACAACTTACTTCCATCTTTATTTACCATTTGCTCTATGGTACTTTTATTACAGCCAATGCTGCCTCCGCAAAAACTGAATAGCAAAAGAAGTAGACCACGAAAGAGATTCGACTATCAAGAACGAAAAAATTTAGAGGAAGGTGTTAAACGACTTGGTACCAACTTTAAAGAGATCCTTTTCACATATGAGTTTCATCCTTGTCGAACTGCTATGGATTTGAGAGACAAGTATAGAAATTTGATGAAAAACAATATATGAATGAAAAAAAAAATTCTGTTTTTTATTGTGTGTTTTGAATTGAATTATATTTAGAATGAATTGTTTTTGTTTCAGATTTTATTCATGTTCTATCATTGTTGATTTTTCTTTTTCAAATTAATGAAGTTTTTTCTATATTTATGTTGAATGTCATGTTCTTATTTACATTGAAATAACTGTAGATTGTTTCTAGAAATTTCAGGTGTAAGTGCTGTCCGTGTTACCGTCCATGATAGGATCTACGACACAATTTGCTTCTAGGTAGCAAATTATTTTCCCTATAAACATCGACGCTGGTCGGATGCGGCTTCCTCCACCATCAAGTCCATACATCTGAAAGCAAATGACTGGTTAACTATGCCCTTACCAGACATGGACTGGTAACCGGAGAATAGAAGATAGCGTGGTTCGGCATATGATTAAGTCATCTTATAGGCTTACCTCTCCCATGGATAAATATGCAAATTCAAACAAAAAACAAAAAATTTGGTAATAAGTATGTTGGTGAAGGGAGCATACAATTTGTGTGTCAATTCGCCACCAAACTGAGGAATTCGATAGGGTCTACATATGGCGCTCCAGAAGTATGTGTACTAATATAGAGAGGTACCGGTAACTAATTTTGTTCGCTTATTTTCAATCAAGTTGTGTAAATGGACTGAAACCGATTGGCAGGGGGTATATTCACTTGGATAACACATACAATCTCCGAACTCGTAATAGAACTTAAATATGGAAAATCGGAATAAAATTATGACTTAACCCTAACCTGGTACACGAACTACGGGAGTTCCTTTTTTAGATCCTTGTGGTTTTTGATTGGCGGTCCATTAGAAATCGGTGACTCAGAGACGGTTTATCACTATCATATAATGAAAATCGGGCGCATACAAAATGGGAATCTCAATTCACCAGCAGACTGCGGAATTCGATGATACAGTCTACAGATAGTTACGTACGACATTAGCTCAAATAATACCGAAGATTAGGTCGTTGAACCATGGTAGCAACATTGGTCCCCAGACAAACCGACAGTAAGCGACATCATCATGAGAATATTTAACATATAATTTTAGCACTTTGTTGTGTTAAGTTAAAAGAACGAGGAGTCAAGGAAGTTTCTAAAAATCAAGTTCGGAATAATTAAATACAAAAAGACAGTTATATATTGGGGCAAATTCATTTGATGAACATAGTTATTTCGAATTTGTAGCGAAATATTAGGATCTTTATGACTAACAAACGCAAATTACCGCAAACGTAACATTGCAGCGACGAAAAAGGTACCTACCATCATCTTAAATGCATAGATTTGATTTCTACTTCAAATACGTTTTAATGCTTGCCCCCTTGTGTATATGTGAAATACTATTCATTCCTCACTTCCCAATATCTCAATTACTCGACTATCTTTTCGTCGTATTTTATTGTATTGACATTGAATCCGTTTGATACTGAAAATTATTCTAGTTTAGAAGTTTTTATATATAAATAACACTTGATAGTTGTAGTCTGGACCCGCTTTCTTAAAATTCCGGTTATATTCTTATTAAAAACCGGTCATTTCATCGATATCTCGTGACTTTCCTCCGAGATGAGGTTCCCTTTTTATGTGCATCTCCGAAAAAGTTTCACTGCTTACCGTATGTTAAATAAGTGAGGTCAAAGGTTATCATATACGCTGCGCCTTCCTAATCTCTGTCTGTCCGTTGTGTTGGCCCGTCTGGCAGTCTGGGTATCTCGATTTTTCATGCAACTCAATTACCTGCGGTGAATACCTACATAGCAATACCTTAGTCGTTTGCAATTTGCTGCTTTTTGTTGTTGCTGTACTATTTTTATTAAGCTACATTGTGGTCAGCTTTACAAAGGTTCATTGCAGCCTGATAAGATGCTTGGTGACAATGCTACCCAAGAAAAAAAGGCAGGAGACATCGGTAAAAATATTTGGTAAGTTTAATGTTAGGGTATTTTGATGGTAATTTATTTGAAAGCGATATCAATTTTTGAATATTGTTGTATATTTTTATCAATAATATTAACTGACGCATAGAACACGGTTCAAAAAGAATTGTGCAATATGATGTATAAACTTGATGACAGTGTTAATTTGAGATTATTGCAACTTTATTCAGCTAAAATGTCCAAAACCGATATTTTCTATTCCGAATATATTCTCAATTCAAGCCACTTAAGAATGAACAAGCAGAAGTTGATGAACCCTGCTCAATGAATTTGAATTTTAAAATGAACGAAAAATAAAATGATGATGATTTTTCAAATGAAAGTATTGTGAAGTATTCCTAAATCAAGAATTTAAAAATATTGAATGTACGGTATCAATTATCGAATATTGATTCATTTAGAACATCCCCTCATTATAATAGATTCTCCTATTGCGAAATTTCAGTTATTGATACGTTGAAATGACAAGTAGATTATTTAAAAACTCAAAATCAAGCATTTGATACTACATATTTTTAGGTCATCACTACTGAGTGAGGTTTCAAGCCGCTCAACTTCGTCCAAATTTTCTGATGGGGAGAAAAATATAATATTACTAGGTAAGAAAAATGGTTGACAACATCATATTTTGACTCTCTTCTTTAACCTGTTAAGTCGGTTCTTATTCATGGATGAGAGTAGTGCTCCAAATGATGCATTTGTTTAGTTGATTGTCAGCTCATTGAAATATGTTTTTCAACATCATTATATAATACAAAGTCATATGTATGATTTATTTCCTACCATTCCATGTTGAAAAGCACTGGAATAAACTTGATTCAACACAGTTTACCATTTTACTTTCATAGTTTATACTTACCATAACAATAAAGTGGCATCTTTGACATTGGATCTTACATAAAATTGCTTTCTAACATCCTATCTCCCCTATCCTAATTTTATAGGCGATGATTTATCTGGTAAAACAACGTTAGCCACAAGACTTCAAGGAAAAGAAGATCCACACAGAGGTTCAGCTTTAGAATATCAATATATGGAAATCCAAGATGAGGATGTTGATGGTAAAATGATATAGATAAATAATATCAGAATTTCAAAAACATAGGACACAATTTTTGGGAGAATATAGAACATTGGAATTATTAGGTTTTGTTGCCGACTAATAACTTTTCACTATTTGTTTTTTGATAACATTTGAATCTTTTTATGTTGCTTCCTTCGGTTTTAATAAAAAGAAACTTTTGGAATTTAGTAGCAGACAGAAACGGAAGAAAAATGATAGGTCAAAAAATTTAAATCAGTAATTGTATTGTGTTAGCAAATAGTAACTTATCATTCAAAAAGGCCATAGTGTATTGTTTAATATAATCTAATTACACTCCTTTGTTATTCAGCAGGTTATTTTAAGTGCTGCTGAATTGTATATACCTCGCAACATAATTGTAATTCACTAATCACTAAAATGGCTCTAGCAATGACTGGTACCTTTCTGATTTAGCATAGGATACTGACTTTTTTGTGTTATTATCCTCAGTTGTCAAGTATTTCATGGCCATTTGGGCAGCTTGCTAGGAAACTCTATGCTTCTATTGATAAGGTGTTTACTTACGTTTCAAATATTTTTTACAGAAAAGGCGATTTGTGGTATTTGGATTATGGAAGGGAATAGATCATACAGATCATTGTTACATTTTGCATTACCTAAAGAAAGATTTTCTGATTCCATCATTGTATTAACATTGGATATGTCGCAACCATGGAATATGATGGAATCTCTCGATACGTGGACGACTGTCATCAGAGAACACATAGATCAATCTAAAATATCTGCCGAAGAATTGAAATCGTTAGAAGAAAAACGTATGATTACTTTTATTGCTTTAAACTTTTGTCAATAGTCAATACTAGTACCACAGCAGGAGAGCTGGTTTAAAATCACAATGGCTCGAACGTCGGCACTGGCGCTTAGTTTTTTACCTCCTATATTCTAAATGCAGTTTCATGATAGCGGGACTCAAAACCATGATAGATATATATAAACAAGTGTTTCAATTTTTAAAATCCTACTTTGAACTTTCAGCTATACAAATTCAACTTGAAATTTTGAAATTCATATTAGAAATTAAATATTAAATAAATTTTAGTCAGAAAAGGCTAGATTTTCATTAAGTATTAGAAAATTATAAATGTGATTCATGTCTTCATGGTTTTAGGGAGTGCTGGTATCTGAGAATATTTTGGTCTTCCAGAATTCTCTACAACTTACTCATTTAAAATTTAACACAATTTTATGTATGGAAAGCACAATTTATACAAAGTTTTTGCTTTTATGAGAGTCAGTCTTTCTGTAAAATAGTGATTGATTTTTACCCAAATGAGTTTTGTACTTTATCTTTTGCTTTCAATAAATCAACTTTCTATCATTATCTTTATGTTTCTAGTAATACAAGATTTTCAAAAGTATATTGATCCCTCGGAAGTTACGCAAGATGATCCGAGTATAGTATCACAGGCAACTTCTCGACTGTCATCATCAAATGATCCAGATTCTGAACAAATTACAATTCCTCTTGGAGAAAATACATTAACCTGTAACTTAGGAATTCAACTCATTGTTGTTTGTACAAAGGTAATGAAATTTAATGATTTTCGATTTGAACCGCTGTAAAATTCTAGGTAATTTTACAAATTTTCATAGGCTCATTTTTTTGTGTAGAATTTTTTTCTTGTATATTTGCAAATTTGCAATGAATCAGATTAAATGGTGAAGCAAAAAAAATAATTTTTCAAAGCATTTTTATTAAATAGAACTATTTCTAAATTCAGTTCAGTTTTCGCTCCCATAATAGTAAAGTAAAAGTTTACAGTTTTTACATTCTCACAACATAAAAGGAATTGAGTTTAGTGTCACTTATGGCAATATTTGCATTTATCGTATGTATCAGTCGTTTCGTTTTGTTGGCTGGTTTTGATTTTGGTAACGATTGGAAGTTAAACGATGTTTCGAATATAAAAAGTACTAGCTACACAGAAATATTTTTGTATTCAAAATTCATTGAGATGTTTATGATCAGATCAGTTGTATAAATAAGATAATTATTTTGTAGTAATCCTACATATTTTTTCAATTTTTTCTTTTTCTTCCAGTGTGATTTCACAGAAAAATTAGAAAAAGACAATGATTATAAGGAAGAACATTTTGATTTTATTCAACACAGACTACGGACATTTTGTTTAAAATGTAAGTGTATACATCCAATACAAATATGTATATGCTTGTTTAGAAAGAAACCTGTGATTTCTTGGTTGGTAACGAATATTATCTCCTTATATGAAATATTTTAGATTTGTTCTAAATTCCAATATTGGTTTATCAATGGTTTGATAATCTGACAATTTTTGTATCAATGCAACATATGTTACTTTGTGGTGCATACATTGTTTGAATGCTTAACAACAAGAGAGAGAAGTAAGTTGGGTTGAACTTCTGTTAGGGCAAAAAGCTAACATTTAGGCAATAAGGTTCATCGAAATAATTATTGGCATGGGTACAAGTAGGCTTAGCAATGCATCTTAATAATCAATGTTTAATAAAGGAATAAAAAATAATTATATTAAAATTTTTATCATATCCAGATGGCCTATATAAAAATGCGTCATATGTGAATAATGTTGGAAAGATTTTCAAGTGTTATAAATGAGCACCTAGAGCCATCAAGCGTTTTCATCATCCTCCATATTACCACCTTCTACCTGCCTTCAAATACCTATTTTTTATATTTCAGACGGTGCTGCATTATTTTATACATCAGTGAAAGACAATAAAAATACAGAGATTCTACATAGATATTTACTGCATAAATTATACGGATTTCCTTTCGATGTATCGGCATCAGTGGTGGACAAAGATGCAGTGTTTGTGTGAGCATTGAATTTGTGTGCAGTCAAGGAAAATTACAATCAACTCTGAGAATTAAGAAAAAGTTTGACCTTTGACCACATTTCAAAACTCTTGAGAAATAGAAATTATGATAACAAAAACTTAGGTACGCTCAGAAAACAAAACGCTTCTTAAGTATCTGTCAAGATTTTTACCCCGTTTTTTTCCTATTAAAAGAAATAGAAAATAGTCTGTGGCCTCGACTCCAGTAAAACATGGCCTGACAGCTTGGGATTTTGCATTTGAGTACATTTCTAATTCTACCTCTTTTGACACAATTACATGTCTAAAAGTGGATTACGTTATGTATCTTTATTCTTTTTATTCAGACCTTCTGGTTGGGATACTGAAAAGAAAATAAGTATAATCAGCGATAATTTTACTAAAGTTTCAGTTAACGATGCATTTGAAGATGTAATTGCAAGACCTATTGTTCGAAAGGTAGGAAAAATGTTTCGTTAATAAACTTTCCACTCATATCCAGAAAGTTATCACAGTATATATATCTCTATATTACAAGCTTTTGTGATTTATTAATGACAAATCTTTCGGCATGTAGCACAACAGAACCTTACAGGTTACAGCCTACATTGTGATTGGAAGCACAGAAATTTTTTCGACTGATTTTGATAATTATAGGCTGTGAATTCAATTTCTTGACCTAATATTACGATATAAACAGCATGCTGAGCCATTATTTTCCAAGTAGTTGTGTGTGAAGCACTATACCGGTAAAGTCTTCTGTATTCATTTCTTTCCATCACACTACAAAGCACTTGGAAGCTTCCTAATAAATACTTTTGAAAAAATTAACAGTACTCATTTTGTAACTCAAATTAATACAATATCATTTCAGTGTTTGATTCTTATACACTTATACTAATGTACAGAATGTATTGTACCGTGCAAGACTTTTAATAAAAGCAGATGATGACAACAGGCCGAGTCTGATTTGTTTTTAAACTGAAACAATGACGCCACTTACCTAGCGATGTTACTGATGCTTGAAATTAGTTAGTCTAAGTCTATTCAGTTAGTTCATAGAATCCATGAAATTCTTTTATAACTTCATAATTTTATATATCCACTTCAGCCTTTACAAGAAATGAAAGAAATAACAGCAGAGGATGAACAGATCTTTTTAACGAAAGCACAGGTATTTTGATAATAAACTATTGTTTTCCTATACATTCTATTCAAAATCTTTTTACACCGTAAAAATTTGCACTTTCTCATAGTAGCAAGTAATTCCTACAATGGTGTTTGTTGTTCTAATTTCAACGGTATGTCCTAATTAAATTCAGTGATTTTCAAACTTACATGATATGTGGCCTCCTTTCCGAGGACTCTTCAAAGCTGTCTCGCTCTTCAATAAAAATGCCTATTTCTGATTTTAACATGTTTCTATCAGTTATTTAATTTGCCAAATTTATATTTAATGTATTAAAAAATCAAAATCTGTGTCATCAGTCCCATCGCGAAGGTTACCAAGTGGAGGCCTTTCTTCATGGCCCCCCAAGAATCGCTCTCGTACACCCTAGGGGGGTCGAGGGCCCAATTTAATGAACCCTGGTCAAGTTAGTACATTCTCACTCTCGATACCAAGGCCTTTTTGCTAATAATCGTTAAAAAATCATTCTTCTACTTGAGTACCCTGTATTACAGACCCTTCTTAGTGCCCCACCTGCTGGGCCAGGAGCAACTCGAGCATCTGTTCCGAACCGAACAACTGCCGATGCAAATAGACTCAAAGCAGCACAAACTAGTCGAGCATCACTCGGTGGACTTTCTGGTGCTTCCGCACCGAAAATTAAACCAGATCCGAACAAACCAGCTCAGTCAAATGAACGAGTTCTGGCAAATTTTTTCAATTCATTGTTGAACAAGAAACCTGGTTCTCCTGCTTCTCCTGGTAAGAATATTTTTTATTTGCTTCAAACTCCAGATTAGTAGCCATCGATGGATACGGGCCTATTTTTGAACTACTAGCCTTGCTTAGTGTTATTGAGCAGACAATGTTTGTGGAAACAATGTTCGGGCCACAACTAGGATATATTACAAGGTTCTATTGCCATTGGGCATAGGGAAGTCTATAAAAACGACCTGATAAAATGGCAAACCACCTCTTGTCTGGTTGACAGTATCATTTCGGATAGAGGTATTGTTGATCAGTTATTTATTCCAGATCCATAGACTATATGGTGGAGGAAGCCGTATCTAACCAACGGTTACGTGTACCACCCACCTTACAGCGGCGAGGATTCCAGCAATCCTCTCGCATATAATTATCTTCCATGGGATTCGAAACTGAAATAGCGCAGGGTCATCAGAAATGTGAAAGCTTGTTACTATCTTACTATAATGCTTTGCACAATGCTCCAGTTGTCGAACTGTATCACTATCGTATTATGTTTTGACCCTGGCTTGGCGTCAAATCCGAATTTTCAATGCATTAATAAATTTGCAGTGCATTTTTTGATTTTCTCCTGAAATAAAAATTCTTTCCACCAGCTCCCTCGGATAAAACAGCTGCTGATCTTGCAAGACTTCAGCAACAAGCTAATATAAAACAAAGAAATTCACCTTCTGGTAGCAAACAACCGACGTCAGGAGCATCTTAATAAAAAACAACTTTTCAGTGTTTAATATAAGAAATTGCATATATTATTATTGTTATCTACGTTGATTTGCCTTTGAGACAGTATCATGGCAAAATGCAACTCTTGCTGACTAAAGCATTTGAAGCGAATTACTTCACTGGAATATTTTATTGTCAATTGTTTATCATGCTAACCTGTAAAGCTGCTTCGTAAGAATGCCTTTTCGATCTATGGACGGTATTCTGAACTTGAAGAAAATCAAAGAGGAATCAGTATTTGACTCTAATTTTAAAATGCCTGAAAGCTTGCTACTTCGTAAAATGTTCTTGTTTGTAATTCAGTAATTACATTGTCGGTACATATTATGCATAGAAAATTTTTTTCAAGATGGCAATTTAAAACTGATGATTACCGCAATGCTTGAAATTCAAATACTATAACTAAAAACTGTTGGTAATAAAGTAGATGAAGAAGAAATGTTATTTTGTTGAAAAAAATCTTTATTCAATAAAAGGTCATTTTGCCATTGTTTTTTATGATTAAAATTGGCTTGAAAATGATGTTTCTTCAAAATTATTAGTAAATCTTGTGTGTTTTTAATCAAATGCAAGTCAAATATTTACACGCTGAATCAAAAGTTAACTAGCATGCATAATATAGCCAATAGATGAAAATAGGACACAAAAATATACTGTCAATTGTTACTGAATTATTTTTGAACAATTGAAAAAAAGTTTCAATTGTTAATTTCTTCTCATTCAAGTCTTGGAAGAGTTCAAATGATTGTTCCATTATGTCTTTTATTCTTACCTATCCACGTGCCATTTTATGTTATGGTGTCATCTTCACAAATCTCATTAGTACTTTTGTTGTTTGTATAACTCTTTATAATTGTGAAACAGACTGACATTATTATCCGTCTTGTTGCAATAAGTTTACAATTGCAGATTCTTTGTAGAATCTCCTAACGAGTCTGTTGTTTTTCAATAGCAATGGGTAGCAACTAGTTTTAAGTTGTCTGATGCAAAGCATAATTTAACCAGTCAGTGATGTTCTGTATTTATGTAACATATGTCAACATACACAAAGTTGACAATGTGTCTCAAACTATATGAAGATGAATTTTTCTGTTCTCCGTATTTCTCAATCTTAAATATTGACTGAACAAGACTATATGGTGTTTTGTAGTATAAGTCAAAAATTTCATAAGATTGCGTATAAGAAGTCCAGCTATTAGTTTTCAGAATAAAAACTTTCAGATAATTACGATTTGGACTGTTGTTATATTATGGCAGATTGAATTTGATTATAAAGATACTTTGTGTTTCGAGTCTAACAATACAAATAAACTATCTTATATTATCGTCTATTTTTGCACTTTATTTTTTTCATAATTTTTCTTGTCATGTTGTAATAAATAACATGCTACGTTCAAATATATGGTGGAAGTTCTGCTTTTCGCATGGTTATTACTATTAATTAATTACGGTAATTAGTATAATATCAAACTATTAAATGTATTGACTATTGAATAATTTATTTTCGTTTCTTTCCTAAAATTACACTTAACATTAGATTTTATTTTGAGCGTAGATTTCTATCATATCCCTGCTGAAATATTTGGTAAAATTTACTTCTTAATGACAAATTTTACGGTTTTCATATGTGCTTTTTGCAATATGATTATCCATTGGCCTATGCTGCTGATAGTTGGCATGTGGCCACACATACTCCAATAATTTAGTATGCAATTGCATTTATGTTCAGTACCTACGGTAATTGATTTAATGTGCTGTAGTTTTTGTGTCATCCATGACAATGTATGTCATTTTTAGACGTTAGTCTTGAATTAAGAAATATGTACTATGAATATGTAGGTCTTCTTGCATGAATTTTGATATTTTATGGATGTATATTTCATGGAAGTTATTTCTTTGTCTAAATTAATAAAAGCATGTTCGATTTTGGATGGATTAAATCTGAGTTCATAAAGTGAGACGCGAAGGTAGCTTTTTACTTATTGATTTTAATCGGTAAGTATGTTGATAGGTATTTGTCTGTTAGATGCAGCGATATGTCACGAAAGCGAGATTGAATCTGCTCCAGATTTTGCATGTGCATTCATCTTATCTCGGACCAGAAGCCTATTGATTTTGGGCGAATTATGTCGCATAATTAGCGAGTTATTAATTAATTAGTGATGGGACACAAGGTGTCGCCATGGAGTAAGAGCGCTGTTTTGGGGATCCTCTAACTTTCGATCGATAAGTCTTCGGTCTCTGACCGATATTCTCGTTTTGATTTTGCTAGCATTTGTATTTTCAGCTTAACTATGCTAGTGTGGAGATTTCTGATTTGATACCTAAGTACATCCCACCCAGATGTAGATTTGGCCAAACCAAAGAGATTCTCGCATTCAAAATTTGGTTGTCACACTCTTATTTAGAGGTGCTCAATGAGGAAGCTTGTTCGGTTCAGTGATGCATCACCAGCTTCATTGTTTGGTTTCAAAGTGTGATAGGATAGGATTTACACATTTATCCCACATACATTATTGCCAGATAGTACCCCAGTCACTTTCGTTTCTTCACAAAAATCTGTTATTAGAGCTTTCTTTCTATAGATTTGTTCCTGATCCTCTGGAATGTTCATTGTTGTTCCTTCCAGCAGAAAGGTTGAAAACCACTGGTGTGGATACTCAGCATTATTAAAATTTTTACCTTACATGTGATGTTGGAATCCACACTAGTTAATGTTAATTTTCGTACAACATGAAAATATTTCTAAACATATTAACCCACAAAGTTAGACGTCAGATATGGATGTAACAAAGTATTATGTTTGGTATATTAATTAGCAAGAAAAGAAAGTTCATAGGTGTCCACGGAGCAAGGGCAAAACACAAATTTTCTTCGCCTATAATCTCCTGTTACTATATTATGAATATGTGTTATGTATTTATTCTATTATGGGAGAAAATTTCCCTATCTGCGTGTCTTTACTCTCGTATTATTATACACACGTTAACGGAGTAAAACCCTAACTGACGCCTCGGAGGTCATAAAGCACACAATGTATTGTAATGCCGAATGTTCGTATGTTACAAAGTTGCATGATCGAATCCAAACTGATATATTGAAATATACACTTAAATCTTAATACGAGCTATACGGTTGAAATCCTAATTACCGTAGTAGGCAACGCAAGGGAGGGTGGTTTACGTACGTATACGCTGGTCTTCCTCTACCATCGAGACCATGAATGTGGTACCGGTATCTGTGACTGCTTGTCCACGACCTTGGTTTGATCGGGGGAACGGTATCCATTATTACTTGTCGATCTCGATATTGATTGGACACGCGGTGTCGCTATTGAGTCAAAGCGAAGGAAACATGTGAAAGATCGATAAGTAGACGGTCTCCGATTGCTATATAGTATTAGAGAGCGAGTTTTATATTGTCACCTAAATTACATTACAGAAATAAGAATAAAAAATAAAATTTGGGTCTCATGCAATAAAATTGAAGTATCTATTTGGATAAACCAAAACTATCATTTTCATAAATTCAATTTGGCAATGGATTTGAATTTGACAAAAAAAAATCAATAATTTTCGCACTTTGTTTTATGCTCAGATGACATTAGCGAAGTGCATCACAAATTATTTCAAATGAAAAAGGCGACACCGGGTAATATCCGGGTATCTTATTGAGTTATTCGACACTGTTTCGAATAATCAGTCAAGATTTTTTTTTGTAGGGTGATGCCTGATACAGTACAGGCCTAACTACAGAACCAACTACAGATCCAACGTACGATGATTGATGAATAAACGGAGCACTTATTTAATAGGCCTACTTCATAAATGTTATAATTTGGAATGAAAACGGTAAACAGGATGTCGGGGAAGTAAATAATGCTATAGTTACATTTTCTCTGTCACTACGGGTTTGGTCTGGACATTGTTGTCTCTCAATATCGGTAATAATACAGTATAATGAAGTAGCGCAAAATACTACAAAAAAGCGCAATCTAGTAACGTCATCATTGAATTCCTTGGGAAAAAATAATCGGATTTACCGAAGGAAAATTTTTTTTACCGTGGCATTCGGAAGTTTTTAGCAGAAAACGGCAATTTTGGTCATGTGACAGCCGCGATTAATTTAGATTATTATTGAGGCAAGCATGTGACGTCATGTGCTAAGTCTGTAAGTGTTGAAAATAATCTCACCACCGACTCACCGAACCTCTGATTATCCTGCCTGGGTTCGAATCCCATGCGTCATTAATTATGTGCAAGACGACTGCTGGCCTCCTCACCACCGGCTTAGTGTCAGAGTGTAGTTTGCCATATGATTAAGCTGATAATAGGCTTTCCTCTTCCCTGGAATAAATTTTTAAATCCTATCATGAATTTTGAATTTCAGATTAGTAATAGGCCTATATGTTATTTCTATATACTGGTATATAGCCTAATATCTTAGTACTGTAGTAAACAAAGCATGAGTGGGAGAAATTTACGTGACTTTGTTATTAGTCACAGAACTCAATATCAAGATGGAGAAGAACAAAAGCACTTGGTTACTAGAATGATGATGGGAATGGACAGCAATCGATACAAAAAAATCAATTACGAAGAAGCCAGAGAGGCTGCCTTCAGATTTAAAGACAATGCAGTTGCCACAGGTGCTCGATTAAATCATTTAAAAAATCGTGCACGTATTGGTAAAGAAAGACAACTAGTGAAACAACATTATCCAATTTGGCGTGAATCACATAAAGAATTACGAGATCATTTACGAGGAGCTGAATATGCTTATCAGTCTGATTTTTCTGATTTGATAAAATCGTTGTCAAATATTGGGTATTTAGATTATGCAAGTGATTTAGAGCAATGCGACTCTGAAGTTGACGCTGAAATAAAGAAGTTTTCACAAGCGATTATTATGCCTATTCAACAATTGATCAATGATCTTAAAATAAGATTACATCGCGGGACAAGTGGCCCGAACATTCACGAAAGTTTAAAAGAAGATGTTGATGACATAATGAATGAAATTGACTCTGTTAAATCTCAGTCATTATCTGTAGGAAAATGGCTTTCCCACCAGCAAATGATTTTGGAAGGAGACTTAGAAAAAGCTGATATCATTAGCAATGATGCTTATCCATCATTGCCACCAGTAGAGTCTGCCCTCCCAGTAGGGATTGTTCTTGCTGAATGCCCTGATACAGAATTAAAAAGCACTATTTTGAGACAGTTCATTGACTTACATACCAACTATAATAGGCGTTTGAAGGAAGAACTAGCTCGCTTACAAGGTGCTGAAAGTCTTTTTTCAAAATCAAAAGACAAAAGTTGGATATTTTCTGTGGTTTATGATCTTTATCATCGTCATATTTTACCCCAATCGAGAGAAAATCTTCATTTTTTAATTATTGACATGCTCGCTCATCTTATATCGAAAAATAACAAGAGTGAAATTCTAGAAATGGAGTCCCATTTTTTGAAACAACGTTATTCAAAAAAACATTGTGAACTCTTGGTTACAAATTATAACAGAGATTTCGGAAATTTAATATCCAATTCATTATCTGCATTTGCGGAAGCACGACATGTTTATGCAAATGCTGACATTGCTGCAAAAGATCGAGCCAAGCAAAGAAAAATTTGTGCTGCATTGCATGAAAAGGTTATTTCCCTACGAGCAAAACAAGAGGAAATCCTTCAACTGGAAGCAGAACTGGAAGAGAGAAGTAGAAGAAAACACTTTGAAGAAGAAGAAAAAAGACAATGGTTGGAAAACGAACGAAGATACAGAATGAAAAAAGAAATTACAAAATATCAACGACAAAGAAAAGCGATGGAACAACAAAAACAAATGGAACAAGAGAAACGACTACAAATTTTAAAATCAGAGCTTGAAAACCAGAGAAAAATTGACCAGGAAAGAGTGAATTATCGAGCTGGAAAAATCAAGGAAAGGAATGAAATTCAAGCCATTAAATTGAAAGCAAAAATTGAAGATGAAATTTTGAAAAAACAAAGGCTTGATAACTTGCGACAAACTGTCGCAGTTGAAGCTGAATTTGATCCTGAGCGTTTAGTCGCTGATACTATATCCAGTAAAGCGCGACAGGGTATCGGCACAAATGAAGAAGTTTCAATTCAAGCTCCGTTATTTGATGTACATGGGTATTCTCAAAAACAAATTGAAGGAGATGTCAGATTGAGAGTTGAAGCTGCACTGAGAAATGCTGGAATACATGAATCTGAATATGCTAGACGTGTTTTATCAAATATACCTCCTCCTACACAGCCAAGAAGGGATACTGATTCCAGTGCCTTGCAGTACATGTTTAAAAACTGATGTGTTTCAAAGTTTGACTTAACTGTTTACACCTAACATTAAGATTTATTGCAGGCTTGCGAGTGATTAGCAACAACATAAGGTTTTATAGTACGGGATAGCGTTGGTAGAAAAACTAGCTCATGAGTGCTTTAAATGAAGTGTTGTTTTGTAGAGGATTATTGAAGTACTTACTCAATTGGCAATGAAGTATTGCAAATGAAAATCCTTCCTCAAATAAGCAGTTCATATGTCACAATGCTAATTCCGAAGGTTTGACTGTTGGAGCTGATTACAAAAATGCGATCTCCTCAAAACTCTAAATCGTGACATGAGCTAATTTGCTTTGACTGCACCGATATTCTGTGTGCTGATTGTGTGGGCCAATAGATGAATCATTTTGTAAGCTTTTTGTTTATGGGTATTCATATTGTTATTGTCATAAAGACACAATATCTCAAAATATATGCTTTCAAATTTTTAGGCAAAACCTGAAAGTTTCCTTCAGAATAGTATTATTTCTCACTTTTTTGAATTTTTTCTGGATCACATAATTTTGTCTCAAATATTGCTGGCATTTGGAAAATTGTACTTTTTGCTGGATAAATTTTAATGGTACCTTCCTATCCATATATTTGTACATTTTAGTCTATTTGTAAAACTTAAATCTTCCACATTTTTAGCCATTCGGTATAATATATGTATATCCTATTTCTATCTATTTCCTTGATATGTGTTATTGTTATTGACAGCAATTGATAACATACACTTCATATTAATAAGGTAATGTTAAGTGTTTTGCAACATTTTAAATTAAAAAAGAATTTAGTATTTTCTTTAACAAACTATTATATTGAATATTTTACAAGTCCCAATTGTGTGTTGCCAGATTTTTATTCCTCAATGAGCTATGAAGTTATATTTAGGTCAGTTTTCATAATAATAGGTTATATTATGCTACAATATTTTGTTAGTCTTCGTTCGTATTTTATCTTTTGTAATGTTATTGTTTATTCTCTGTCACTGTGCTATTAGTAAACACCGTAGTGTAGGATTCAGCAATTAATAAATATCGTATTTATATATTTTAGATCTACATAATTAAATAAAAAATTAAACATTTAAATTTGGTTACCCATATACCTGAAATTAATGGATGATATCGACCTCGTTCAAGAGGTCAAAAGTGTAGCAGAAGAAATTCGATTTGCCGTTGATAAAGTTGTCATTGATGCGACTGATCCTTACTCGTTTACTGTTACAATTAAAGAAGGAGTTACATTTCATCTCAGTTTGAGTAGCAGAGGATTTCTTGTTGAAAATCAATCTCAAGGTGATCCAAACACTCAATCGGAAGTAATCATACTCAAAGGACAGTGTTTCGAAACTATTTATGCTTTTCTTGATAAAGCAAGTCCAGCTTACAGGTTAGAATTACAAATTACCCAATCTGATATTGTTATTATTATTAATAAATATTTAAATTGTTCATTATGTTAATATTATATTTATTGATTTATTGAAGTATTTCGATTCATATCAAGTATACTTTATATGAGTGCCATTACATGAATTCAAACATTCCTACTCGCAATGAATCTTACATTATTAAATCTGTTAAATCCATTAAGACAAAACATATAACTTATGTCCAAATTTTTTTTAGAGTTGCATTTGTTCAAGACATTTCAAAAAAACTGAACGCAATTAGTGAAGGATAATGGCTGAAAACAAAGAAACCATAAAAGATCGACTTCGAAGCCTCCTCAACTTAAACAAAGGTGGTGCAGTGTCTAAAACTGCCCCTTCTACCACTAACAAGTCGGCAATAATATCTGATGAGTTCTGGTTAGACATTGGAGCATCGTCACCACTCGAACAAAGAACTGAAAAAATTCGTGAAGCAATGAAGTTGGTTGAATCTGAAGTTCTTCAAGATTCTGTGATAAAAAAATTATGGATCGAAACTAAAGATCTTCTTCAGCCTAAAATGAATCAAGAAGTTCGGTTGTTTGAACTTGAATTTGTTCGGAGCATTGTCAAGGTAAATGATTTGTATTTAGAGTCATGAACTTTTACACATAACTTAGACTTAATACTCCAAGCTCTTTATTTCTCCAATTCCTGGTTGACAAAAGTTTTGGTTCTGGCTCTAATCGCAGGTTAAAAGTAATTTTGACTCAAGTTTTCAGTACCTAGGAGACTATTCATCTTGTTTCTGTTCGAGCTACTATATTGAGAAATACCAGGTTCCTTATCAAAGTTTAGCCTTTCCTATCCAAAATATTACCTGGCGTTTGGAACCAGTGATTTTTATTTGCTATGTCAACATACTTGTGTTCAATACTCTTAACTACTCAGCAATCTCTCCCACAATTTTAGAAACGATTTGGTGACATAGGGTAAAAAGAAGGATGGCTTAAGTATAACATACTCGGGTCAGTGTTTCCCAACCCATGAATCATGACCCAAAACTGGGTCGCCTGCAAATTTACTTAAGTCGCTTGTTTTTTCAACAAAAACCCAAGAGTAACTAATTTTATTTTCTCGTAAATTTGATTATTTATTTCATATTTGGTATTAAAGTGTTGCTCAATAGTAATTGTATATGTTGGATGGGAATTATTATCCGTAAAAACTTGGCAGAATTCATTTTGCTCAGTAAAGCCACGCCACCCACCATTTTCCCTGATGACAAACAAGTGCTGTCTTCTCAGTTTTGGGGTAATTTCTGTCGGAATAAATGTTATGTAAAAAGGATTGTTTCGTTAATACTACATGTCATTTAGTATTTGGGCATGTCCTTGGGTCGCACGATTTTACAAAATTGATTTAAAAAAAATTTGGGTCTCTTGAAAGAAGGTTGGGAACCACTGCTCTTGGTACCGGTATATTTATTTCTCGTTATTAACTCAGATTGTTATTATATTTTAGGGTCAATATCGTCGATTAGGAATGTTACGAGCTATGTTTTTTCAAACCTTACAAGAACATAACATTCCTGAAGACGGCTCAGCCGTTATACAAACATTTGAAACACTCAGTGACAATGGAAAAGACGTAGAATTTTTTGACCAAGAAGTCGGTCCGCTACTTCTTCATTGGCTTGCAACAATGAGAGGAAACGTGACGTTACTTTCACTTCTTGTGAATATTATAAAGTATAATTCATCTTACTTGGATCAAGAGTTTATAGTTAAAATTTTGGAATTGATTTGTGATCTTTGTAATTCTCAAACACCGGAAAAGGAAAAAGATCTAGGGCTGCAGGTAATAATCTTAAATCTTTTCTGCTACGTTTTACCTATATTGTTATCGATTACCCTAACCTAGTTGATGGTGAGTTTTTTTCCCCAAATTTGTCTCATACACGGCCACAAGCTCCCTCTGATGTAAAGTTTTCAAATAGTTTCTCACTCTTACTACCCAGCTATGCTAGAACCACTTAAATGTTAAAAAAAAACAAGCCGTAGCATAGTTATGCACTTGATTGCCAGCACACATCACGTGCAGCTTTCTTCAGAAATCCTCCTGAAATCAAACATTCGTCTCTATACCGGCCGCTCGGCCCCATAGCCTTCTACATAGTAGGCCATTCAAATGGTAATTATAATTATGAAGAGAATTTTACAGCAATAATCATTTTTGATTTATTAAACCCTCTTTGATTGAATTTAAAGAAGTTTTTTGCTGTCGTACAATCAATATATTACGATTTGTTATTGATTTAATATACTTTTCTTTTCAGGTTGTAGATGCAATTATATGCTACAGCTCCCTTCCACATGAATCTCTTTATTCTGTGACTGTTATGTTGTGTCGTGTATTGAATCTGAAAAAATTTTGTAACGAGAGTTGGAAGTTGATGAGAAAACTACTAGGAACTCATTTAGGACACAACTGCATCTCAATCATGTGTCATATCCTTCAGGTAATAATTATTTATGCATTTGACTTCGAATATGGCTCGTTGAGAGGCAGAATATTTTGGGGTTATTAAGATGATTTACTTCATTCATTTGATATTATCTCTCTCGAGTTTTTTAGTCATTCGCTAGGCCTAGATTGACTTGCTTGATCCAGATGTCCCGAACTCTCCATCATATGCTTTGATCGGTGAATTAAAACACTATGGCGAAAAATCATTTACTGTATATTCTCGCATGTATAGGCTGACCCCCTGAAAACGGCCCTAAAACGATGAATTTATGAAAAGTTTCATAGAAGCCATTTACAAAATGTTATTGCTGTCATAGTGTGAATACACAATCGATCCATGCATGGCAACCAATCACAGACTGTTATCGCTGTCACAACGTACCAAGCGCTGCTTTGCTTGTGTGCGTGCAGCAGAGTGGAGGGCCTTATCGTGGGAACTTAGCATGGTTCGAGTTGTAGCTGTTGGAATTGGGTTAGCACAATGTCATTTTGTTTGAGTGCGATCAGAGTTATGCATGTATAAGCCATATATATATGACAACTGAACATCGCATAGTGAAATTTCCATGTTGGTTCAATAGACAATAGATAACTCTGTTTTGCTTTCATCACAATTAGCATATTAATGATTTAACCAATAGAATTTAAGGATCAAATACTATTAATATCGACTTGAAACTTGCTTGTGATTGGAAGTATACAACACTAACTATTTTTTATCTGTTATAGAATCCAAAGATGTTACCTGAATGGCCGCTTTTGCGAAGTGCAGTATTTTTCATCGGTATGGGATTATGGGGATCTGTGAGAGTCAAATCCTTGAAGCACACTTCACAATCTGTTCTACCATCGTTTCATTGCGCTCTTCATACCAAGAATTTGGAACTGGCTTTTGAAGTTACTTTAACTATCCAGAGATTAGTACGAAAATATGGTCATGAGTTGCAGGTGCTTGCTAAATTTCTGTTACAGCATTTTAGGTGGTAACTCCTTTGTGTACCAGATTAGGGTTAGGCCATGATTTTATTCCGATTTTCTTCATTTTTGTTCGTTTACGAGTTCAGGGACTGTCCGTGTTAGCCAAGTGAATATATTCCCTTCCCATAGGCTTCAGTCCCTTTACACAACTTGATGTAAAGTAGGCGAACAAAATTAGTTACCTTCAATCTCCATATTGGTTGGTATCTTTTGTGACCTTTTTGCAACCTTGCTTTTGTTCGATCTTTTTCTCTTTTAGTACAATAAATGCAAAATTATTGTCCTATAAGTATTTTACAATATATTGTCTTGTCATGATACTGCCGAGGTTGAATGGTTCGATTCCATAGTCATACATCAAATTTATTTGTCAAATGAAAATCATTTTCAATCACTTTTTTATATTTATCATGGGGAGGGGAAAGGAGATAAGGTGACCTAATCATATGGCAAATCACAGCATCGAGTCTGGCCACCTATCCAGATCGTGCATGGGAGTAGTTAACCATTTATTTGCTTCAAATGCATGAGTGGTATAGAATACAACAAATTGTCAGTCATTTGGATAAATCCCCCAATCCTTGTTGCAAGTTTTTTTTTTCTGGTTATCAAAATATCAGAAGGTATGCTATGATTATTTCTACTTTAGGCTGGAACTTGGGATCACGTTCTGGACATTGTTAGTTCTCTGTTAGAACTTGTCAATGAAAATTCAACAAAAACTCAAATTCCTGCCATGATTTCTCTAAAGAAAGGAACTCATGATCTGATAACTTTTATTGAACAATTAATTGAAACGGAACTCTACGATGGCCCGATCGAAAGATTATTTTCGATTACTGATAGTTGCGCTAAAGATCGTCCGAATGATTCTGTGTTCATGCTGATAGCTTATAAATCTCAGGTTTGTTGTGAATTATAATTATGGAATTTAAGGAATCTTTGGTTGAGGAAAATAAAAAAATTAATATAAAATTTCAGATTAAATTTAATCTCTAAGAGGACAGTTGCAATCTTTTATTTATATATATCTCTTGATTTTTGCTCAACTGTGTTTAAATTTGGCGTTTTGTTTGTATGAATTGTTTATTGCGCAGAATATTTTTCCGTAAGATAATTAAAAACAATTAATCAGGAATTTTGGTTTTCAAAATTTGGTCTCTTGTCTAAATGACATGTCATAAAGCCACTCTGAGAAAAACGTAATAACTGTCAATTAACAGTTAAATGATATAATTAGGTCTTGTCGAATTAAAATGGTATCTTATATGAATCCTTTTTTGAGAAAAGATGTAAAAATTGTCAATCCGGCTGGCTATTTGTGGCCCAGCAGGCAGTCCGATGTGGTAAAATTGAAAATATGTTATTATGCAATATACAGTGAGGAGAATTGTATTTTTTGAAAAGAATAGAGAATTGAAAAAATTCTTCCAGGACACTTCTATTGCGCAAGAGGACGAAATATTCATAACCGATGTAAAACAAAAATTAAAAATAGAAAATTACTTCCGCGTCATCCTACCACAGTACCTTTAGATCTGACAGGGGCGAACTACCGCTCAGGGGCCAAGGGCCAGTTGGATAATTCAATCTGGCCCGCCTGGTGCTGCCACAACCAAATTTTGATGTTTAGTTAAAAAATAGCTCAAGAAATTTGTTGAGAATGCGTTCAAATTTAATTTTGGCACAAGGCTTGTTGTTTTCCACTTTTACTTTGTTAATATTGTTCATAAAATGTAACTTTATGCACACTTACATGGCCCGTCAGTCTAGGTGGGCGCAATTTTTGGCCCCCGGTCCGAAAACCTTGCTCACCCCAGCTTTATATAAAGGCAATATTTAATTTGTTTGTGTTGCATCTCATATTAGGCGATAAATCCTACGAAACAGAACTGGTTGTCCAGTCTTCTCATGCTGTTGAATAATTATTATACGAAAGAATCAAGAACGCCTGTCAGATTAAAAACGTTGGAAGTTCTCTACTCTGTCACAGAATCTTGCATGGAACTTTATGAAGATGTATGTATGCCTTGGCTTGTATAAATATTGAAAAATAAAAGAAATCTATTCAAAAAATATATTTGTTGCGTTTTCTTAACTGCAATTCCAAGCGATCTAGGAATACGGCTAGAAATGAAATTTTGTCAAAAGCACATTTTCTGCACTTAAGCTTCTTTCATTTGCAGTGATGGGCTTTGCTGAACACAATGTGACCTCAATTCTTCAGTATTCAAATTATTTTCTGGAAAATATTTTGTAATATTAGTTATTCTAAATTGAGCCACATGAGGTAATACAGGTTTCCCGCAAAACAAATTGTATATTGGAAATTCTGAATTACTTTATCCCGTATTTCGATCTCTTGATTTTAGGAATATCAGCCACAAAAATGCAAAAAACTAAAATTACGGAAAAATTTCAAATAAATTAGGATGGAGTATTTCGATAGAAAAAAAAACACAGAATTGTGTAATATTTTAAAATTGAAGCAGTAGGCTTGAAAATTATCCTGGGCTAATAGAGTTCTGTTTATTAAATTTATTAATTCTTCCCTGACATATAGGCTACTCTCTTTACCTTTTCTTTTTTTCTAAATTTTGGGAAAAAATTCCTCATATTTCAATCTTTTTTAGGAATTAGTATCAGAAGTTTTGCTGAATTGTTTTTCTGACTTGAATGTTGAAACTGATTTGATTGTCAAAACCAAAGCTGTTCAGCTCATTGTCAACTCTTGTCTTCTTGCCAATGAAAAATGTCCAGAACTCTTTGCATCACTCAGAAATGTACTAGATGGTGATTGGATACGGAGAGGTACTACTAACAATATAAATTGAATATGAGTAAAACATACTCAACCAAAAGACAGGAAATAAGATGAATGTCGAATGTCTATGTGGTTCTCAAAATTTTTAAGCACTGACCTCATTTTAGAAATTGTCAAGTCTCGCACCCCACCTCAAAAATAACTAGCTAACAATAAACTGCAAATAACAGATAGTAAGGCGAAAGTATGTTTATTTAAAAAAACACGTTGAAAATATGTGTACATTATAAAGAAATGTAAACAGTAAAGAAATGTAAATATCCAAAATAAGGCGGGCAAGATCAAATCTAACTGAGGGAAATGAATATTACCCATTAGCATTTCTCATAATTGCACATCATGGAATTGCTTACTTTCAAGACTTTCGACCTTTTCAAAATTTTATTTAAAATTCAGTACTCGATTACAGTTTATTGTTTTTAAAATGCAGCTATGAACAGAAAATCTGAAAAGTCATCTTCCGACTTCTTAACTGACATTGAAGAATTAGTTCTTGGACTTGTCAAAATTTTTAAAAAGAAAATGCCAAGGTATAATATTGTTTTTAATGTTTTTGTCCCAACACAAAGCATAACCAATACTTGTCTGTATTTTTATCAAGGAATCTTTCTTATGGTGTTTGTTCAAAATACCTGGCAGTAGGTTTATTGTTTTAGTCTCTGGGAGGTATTTTCTTGTCAATACTTAGGTAATGTACCGCACCCCAATTCAACCCTTTTGCGACTACCCATCGAAGACCGCACCCCAATTCAACCCTTTTGCGACGACCCATCGGAGCTTATCTTATATATTGGTATGGTATACTCATGTATCATTATTTAAACTTATCTTCTTACAGATTATATTATTAATTTTAATGGTTTATATTTCGGTCAACATTTGAATATTGCTTATAAATATCATTGGATAATATATTAATTATTAATTTTCGAATTTTTGTCAGATATCCAGGTACTCACACAGTTGAAGCGTTTAGCTTACTCACGTTATATTTGCAACTTTATTATACTTCGGATAATATTGAAAAGATTTCTAACTGTTTGACAAAAAGTAGAAAGAAGACTTTTGAATTGGTGCTGTCATTAAGAGCTAATGAGAAAAAACAACTTTGCATGAAAAATTCTCAAGTGAGTCAATTTTTTTTTCTAACATATTTTCTAAGTGCTCTCCAACTGGCTCTTATATAATTACAAATACAGTGTTGCTATACAGTCGCACACCAAGGTGAAAACCTAATTCTAAGAATACAAAAACCTTGGAATCGTTCGATCTTGATTTTGATACACAGTCTTCTCTGATTGGCGTACATAAACGTCATAATAGATTTTGAGTTTTACCTTGGTGCAGGGGTGTAACCCAGAGGGTTCAGAAATTTCAAATTGCCAAGTTTGACCGAAACAGCCTGCGGGTCCAGACGTGGGAAAACGTGGGTCCTCGCGAGTTTTAAGGGTCTAAAAAGTGTTTCATTCTTTGAAAAATTGCTACGATACAGGGAAATGCCTTTTTTTACTTTTCGAAATGGGGGGTTCTGGCCCTAACCCCCCCTGGCTATGCCCCTGCCCCTGATACACAACTTCATTGGCCACCCTGTACAACCGCAGCCTTTCAGTGTTTAATTTATTTATGTTATATAATATTTTGTTTATGACAGAACTCAGAAGAAGAAAAATTCAGTTCATACCTTCTGGGTGGAATCCTAGTTCCTGATGATGAAGTCGCTGGTAGGTTTGAATTTGATTATCACCAAGCTTAGCCATACATAAATATTGGCTTGTTGTATTGAGTGCCATTTTTTATCATTGTATCGATACAAGATAATTCTTTGGTATTTTATTTACTGTTGAGTAATTGGGTGTGGCTTGCTACGAAAAAAGCACCACACTTTCGTTGACTATTTTACTATGTTTGTGTAGTATAAAGGAAAAAAATTGTCGCTCCAGAAGTATGTGTACTATGCACAGGTGTAAGTAGGTGCAAGTATGCGCCTACTTTACATCACGTTGTGTAAAGGGACTGAAACCTACGGGCAGGGGTATATTTACTTGACCAACACAAACAGTCCCGAACTCGTAATAGAACCAAAATAAGGAAAATCTGAATACTTGAAAGATATTTAATTGTGTGTGACTTTTTATTGTAACGAGTCCTCCAGATACATAAATTACTCAAAACATAGAATCCATCACTCACTGGGTGTTTACACACAATAAGAAACTAGTCAATAATAACTCACACAGTAGAAAAAATGATGGGCAAAAATAATAGCAGCGATTCCAAATTTTTGTCATAGATTCTATTCGAATACTCGATTCAAAATGCCTTCTTTTATTTTAAGGTATTGGATATATCTCTATTCAAAATATTCTGGAGTGCGTTCTGCTATGTTTGAAAAAAGAAACCTGGTGGCCTGTGCTCGAAACAGTCTTCAAAGGATTATGTGGATTGCTTCAAAATAAGTCTATCATGATTGGAATAACTTCGAATCAAACTCGATACGTTCATTTAGAAGAGTTAACCATGGCTCTTTGTTCTCTGATATCCGATCAAGAATTGGCCAAACGTAAAATACAGAATCTTCCTACCGATTTTACAAGATCGGATATTCAAGCTTCTGTTCTTTCAGTATTATCTTGTCTCGTCTCGTATCATCAATGGTTAGAAGTTACTCGACAAAGACAAATTCTGAGGTGGGTCAAATATAATATACACCTTCAGTCTGATAAATGGAGTAGTTGTATGCATAGTAAGGAATCAAATAACAAATTCTAAAATTTGACAACAAAATTAGGAAAACTGAATTGGTATAAAGCTCATAGAGAGTGTTGAATTTATTTAATTTTATAATCATTCATGCTTTCAGTTTGTCGACACATATGATGCAGTAGGATATTTGAATATATACCATATTTCCTGGCTAATAAGTCTACCTGGAAAATAAATGTACTATTAATATTTTTAGTACTAAAAAAAGAGGGTTTTTCCATATAGCCCCCGAATAAGACGTGCAAAATTCTTCTCTGTTGCGTTGGTCAGTTGAGTATCAATATGCATATAATTTTATATGGTTAGTTAGAACTAATGCATGTTTGTTTCAGATGGAATTATACTCACAGACCTAACTATTCTTAACAATAAAGGGGTAATTTTTCGAACAACCTGGTAAATAAAACCGACTTGACCTAATCCTCCCGGACTGACGCATGCGCGGCGTTTCAGACGTTATGCAATGCTGTGTGTATACCATGAGGTCTGGGATGTTTGTTATGGTCTTGCTTGGAAGGAAATCTTATTCCCCACACAACGATATGAGAATGAACCTTATATGACATTTAGAAGTGATAAAATTTCGCTTACATATCACGCGTGTACTTCCCGCTGCGATATAAAACAAGAAAATGATTCCATAAACCTTGGCGTTGCGCGCTAACCAATAACAAAAGCTAGTATGATAAGGTCTTATTTTGAAGGTCATTTTATATGCTACATAACATAGGAGAGTGGACATCTCACAACGTCAGGAAGTTATGAAAATATCGATTCGTTTGATCGCAGCTGCCTCACCGAAAAAAAGTTAGGCGTTTTATCTCGCAAATTCTCCTTGTCTCACGATTATAAGCTTTTATGATTCATAATAAATGTTTTATTATGACTCACAAAAGCTTTCAACGCGATAAAGCACAAACAAACAACCGATCGATCTATCAAGCTTAGCCTGGCCTGATTCGATGTGGTGACTTCTCAAACGGAAAATTTCCAAAACGCTTGAACAACGCGCGCTAACGAAAAGCGTTTAGTATCATATGAAAGAGAAAACCAATGTGCAGTCAACTGTATAGTCACATTTCAGCTTTACAATAGCTATAGACGTCCAACAGCTGATAGAATGAGAGAGTGTAAATATTTTTGTTATTTTTTGACGTTACGAGAGACCTCTTGAAAGAGGTGTTTTGGTTTACGGTCCTCCAGTGACATCTAGCGTATAGTACTCTAAAAGACCTTTCCAATGGTACATAATTATTGTATATTGGGTAAATTTTGGGGTTCGTATGACATTAATAAAAATGGGTATACAAAATTGGGCTCGATTAGGAGTCTAAAACAGGTTAATCGATGGGAAATAGGTAGCCTACTTACTCTTAAGAAAGGGCCTACTTTATTTAACACTGATTCATAAGCGAATTACTGTTGTTTTGTTCGACAGGTGTCTCGAATCTGGATTAACATCAAGATGTGCTCGTCTTTGTGTTAGATCACTTACTCTTTGTTTAGCGGAGATGCCCAGGGATACGTTACTTCGTGTGTTGCCATCATTACTCCTTCGATTGTCACAAATGTCTGCTACAGTTATGATGGCGACTTCAGTACTTGAATTACTAGCCACCCTGGCACAACTGCCAGGTCTTTATTGCAATTTCGTCGAAGATCAATATATGAGTGTTTTTGCTGTTGCTTTGCAATATACGAACCCTTCAAAATTTTCAAAGTAAGTTACTTAAAAAATATCTGTTTTGTATTCTCGTTGTCTCCTAACAATAAAAAAACTAGAATCCAAGTTTCAATCATGTCTAAGTATCAGCTCACTTTGTGTGCTCAGATTCGATTTTCTTTTGTTAAAAAAAGCAACTATTTAAAATAGCAGGTTGTTCGACTTTTTTCATTTATCCTTGTATATTTACTGCTAGACTTTGTTCAATTCATCAAAGATGTCATTGCTCGATAAAGAGTGTTTGTGATACCTCTGAATTGATCCACTCATAAAAACATTCTTTTATTACATTAACCAAATTTAATAAATTATTATGGGTTGTATAACGATTTATAAAGGTCTCTATAAATATTATTTATGGTACATGAAATCAGATGAACATGCATAAAACAAGTATATCAAGAGGATGGCCTTCATATTCGGAAACCTAGTTTTTGAGCGTTCATAAGAAAAAAAGAAAAAAGTTGTCAAGCTTCTATTTATTGGGGAATTGATTTTGCATTAGACGATGACTGTCTAAGTCTAATTTTGACTCACCAATCGTGAAATGTTCTCATTTTTACTCGGTAAAACTTTGCCAATATAACTGAATTTTTGGTGTTAATCAGCCTTGTATAAAAAAATCTTGCTCGTATATCGTTATGGTTCTCATGATACGTTGAAATTTGCTTTTAAAGTGCTTTTATCTTCTTGTTGCTTTCAGATATGTTGTTTCTCTTGCGCATTACGTCATTGGTACATGGTTTTCAAAATGTAGAATGAGTTTTCGACCTGATTTTGTTTCTTATATTACTCGCAATCTCCACGCTGTCAATCGTCGTGGCACACAATCCGAAGATGGCTCTGTCGACATAATCAGAAACAATTTGATGGAAACTTGTATCGATATGATGGCTCGATACACTTTTTCAAATTGTTCAGCGCAACCCAGACGTTCTCCACTAGCGAAGTTCCTATTTGAAAAAGGTGCCACTGCAACTTGGTTGCTAGGCAACAAATTGATTACCATAACGACGAGTCGTGCCAATATACCATCGGAAAAAATCAATTCTTCATCTTTACATTCGAGTTCAAATGATTTACCATCACGATGGCCGAAGCCAGCGAGCTCGTTTTTAGAGAGACAACTTTCTTCTGAAGCTCCTGGGAAACTTCAATCAGCTTCTTTCAGTGTTATGTCATCTTCGCCACGTCAAAGACACAAATCCGGTGGGGCAGTGTTAAGGAGGTAATACAACTTTTACAACTCTTTCTATAAAACAAGTGCTTGCAGTTATGATATGTTTGATATGTTATATATCTTGTTTTATATAAAAAAGCCCTAACAAAAGCTTACAAATATAATTGCTAATTATTGAAAGAGATTATTCTTGTTTGTCACTTCAATGCTCAATATCCTATTACCCTCTTTTTCAGTATTGGGGATATGCACTTAAATTTTGCAATATTCCGTGTATAATGTAACATGATTTCCAACTAAACCAGAGTCTGAAGATTTGAGTTTGCTATGCCCAAGTAGAAATATTCTATTATTTTTTATTTCCACACTTGACTAAATGACTGCTCGTCCAGAGACGGAATGTGTTTATTCTTGCTTACTGTAGTCTTCAACTAGGAATCTTATCTACATCACTGAATCTTAATCCTTTATTCATTAATTCCAGATCTCAAAATATGTCTCCATTGGAAATGCGTTCATCTAATAACAGTGCAATATTTGGTGAGTATTTTTCCATCACATTTTGCAATATAAAGTGAGATTTATTCGGAAGTCGAGGTAGGTCATTAAGGACAACTCAATCATGGACTTGATAGTTTAGGAAGTTGTAACTGACCAGTGATTATGTGAACCACCCTACAATGCAGAGGAATCAAATTTCACAGGGTTCAAACCTTCGAACTTGCAAGTGTGATGGCAAATTTGTTCCTGCACTCAGTAAAATGCACCAAATGTCAAAAATCTAAAACCAATACCTTTCACTTATGTTACTTTTCCAGAATCTACGAAGAAAAGAATAAATTTTAATTCTGGTGCATCTGGTGATCCCAGATCCTCAGATATGCAGTATTTATTAACGGAAGGATGGGCAGAAATTTATATCAGACGTCCTTCAGGAAATACAGCTTGGTCTATGAGAATACAAAATCAATTGGAGTCTGTCACTGGTAGGTTTTAAGTAGGTTGCAAGTCATTTTAACCACTCATTTCAACTGTATATGTAAGGAGATACGTTACTGTGAATTGTGATGTTAATTTAAAGAAGATAATCATATTAATTGAACTTCATTTTAGAAGGCAACAGTGTAGAAGATGTTTTGAATCTGCAATCATTTCTTGAGGAAATCAAATCGAGAGAAAATATGCAAAAGGAACAAACGGTAAATTTATTATTTTTGAAACCATAATAACCTTTGAAATTTTCACTAGGGGTATGCATGACATATTCCAGTATTTGCTATGATAGAGTTTTATCTTATAAAAGAAAAACTTGTGTCCTCAGATCAACAAAACTTGACCAATAAAATTTGCCAATTAAAATTAGCTCATTTCTATCAAGTAAAGTTACCTTTTACCTATCTGTTTTGCTGGTATGTAGACTTGAAAATTGTTTCAAAATTTACGTTAAATTTCATTTACTGACGTCTCTGTCGCAAGATTATGCTTATACAGTGGAAACTCTACCTACGAAATTAATTCGTTCCGGAAGCCTCTTCGTAAATAGAAAATTCCGTAAGTGGAGGCGCATTTTACCTGCAAATGCCTTAATCCGTTCCAAGCTCCCGCAAAACTCGTACATAATATTTGTATGAATTATAATAATGGTTAAAACTTGTCACAAATACATGTCAGAATTAGATTATTGCATAATAAATAGAAAATGTACACATGTGAAGAAGAAATATGAGAAAAATAACGAACAAAAACTACGAACATTATGTTTGTTCACCTTTGGCGTTGGCCGACTAGGCCAAGCTAAGACCGTGGATAGGGGGAGGATGGGGGTCGGCTGTGAGAGAAAGCGTTAAAAGTTGACAAGTGAGAAAGAACGTATCGTTGATTCAGAAAAACACAAAATGTTATTACGTCATCATCAAATTAGTTACTCCATTTCGCCATCCGCCATTTCGAATCGATAGTGATTTAAATATTTCATGTCGGCTGTTATAATTTTATTTTTGATCATAAATTAATATCGTCAACTTAAACTGATTGATTTTGTCATCAACGATGCCGGGATAACGATAAAATATGTGATAGATACTAAATAGTATTTGAGAGCTATTTTATACGCTCTAAATTGCAATAAATTAAAAACTTGAAACAACATTAATTATGACACAATTTGCTTCTAGATTTATTGCAGAACTATCTTGACTAAATTAAATGATACGAAAATAATTGTAAAATATTTTCAATAAAAAACATCTTCGACTTGTTAAAAGCACTCCAACTCGAAGCTAATTGAGGTTCTTCCATGTCGACTGTGATTTATTAATAATTGATTTAATAATTGTAAAATGTTTTAAAACAAAACGTGGACGGCGGCACTAGGATATGTGCGCCATATACGGTATTCTTATAAACACGAAAAACGATATTCAAAGGGTGCGATATTCGATTTTGACATCGCTGCTTCAATCACTGCAATAAATTAACCTAAATTAAACAAATATCACTACACAGGTTTTTTATTTTTTAGTTGTCGGCCTTTCGTATGTCGAAAATATTACGTTAGTCGAAGCAATATTGTTACCAAAATAATTTTCGTAAGTTGGATATTTCGTATCCAGAGCCGTTCGTAGATAGAGTTTCTACTGTATACAGCTTTTGGCACGGTAGCCCTAATCTTATAAAAAAGTTTTGAATGATGAAGACTATTAGTTTTGGTTGTACTATATATATGCTTATACATAAGTTGTAATATTTATACTTTAAGACTCCACTTCATGATTCCAGTGTTATAGCGGAGGAATCTTTGCAAGAAACTTCTTCAGAAAATGTGTAAGTAAACCATTAATAAAGATATCCATATTCAATTGATTTCGTGCTTGAGAATTAATATTTGTAATTAGGTCAATTTTAATTCGGAGAAAATTGATGTGTTATGTGCCAAATTTTACGATGGAGAATTGGTTAATAAGCATAATTTCAGTTTAAAAATAACAACTTTAGTAAAAAAGTAATTCTGATTATATAAGAATTCACAAAATATCATTTTAATCATGAGCAAAGTGATGAAATGGGGCAAATATCACATTTTGAAATTGATTTCTTGGCCAGTTAGAAAGTAAAAACTTTGGTAATTAATTAATTCAAACAGTAGTTCTGATTATACATGAATTCACTAAAAAATCATGTAGGTTTTTTTTAATTCTAATCTTAATTCTCAATTCTTATGTTTTTTCAGACTTTTTCCTGGTGATTACATGGATCTCACCAATACAACTAGAAAAAGAAGTTCCTCATCAACTTCAGATAGATATACTGGTAACGGTAAGTGTGAAGATAACTAATAAATAAATCTTCAAAACAATAATTAATCTGTATAGGTAGTATAAATCAGTTTCCTCTAACTTTTTATGACCAGGCAGGTTTTCTCACGGTAATCAACAGTGATGTTTAAAGCAGTGGTTCTCAAAAGGAAAGCCGCGCTCCACAAGGGGGGGACAGGGCAATTTTTTTAATAAGGGGGGGGGGTGAAGCTAATTAAAAATAAAAATATTTGTTAGATTTGATCTTGCCCGCCTTTTTTTGGATATTTACGTTTCTTTATTTTTGAAAATTTACGTTTCATCCACATATTTTCAACGTGTTTCTTGAATAAAATATACTTTCGTCCTAATATCTGTTATTTGGGTACTCATGAAGTATGCGCATTATGATGTCGCACAACCTGAACCATAACCTGGTACACAACCTGAGTTCAGGTTGTGCGCCATCTTGGTGCGCATACTTCAGGAGGTTCGTTAATTGTACCTCATTGTTAGCTAGTTTTTTTAAGGTTGGGCGCGAGACTTGACAAATTCTAAAAAGGTATCATGGCATAAAAAGTTTGAGAACCACTGGTTTAAAGTAGGGATGAAACAGTTCCATGCTACGAAATAGAACAGAAAATGATGAAATCGAAGTCAGTACTCAGATCTGTTGAAGTTAGACTCGTCATTCAGAGTTCCATATCATAGTTAAAATATATGTAATATATGTTTCATATAATATACAGAAAAACCATCTGAAGATAAAGAAGAAGTAACTAAAACAAATCACTCTGCATCTACATCATCATATCTCTCACAATCATCACCGCCTTTAGTTCGTCATAGAAGCCATACAGTGTCATCTTCTAAGGATTGTGCTGCGGAAGCCGCAGCAGCTAAACGTGCTGCTGAAAGAAAGAGATCTGACTATGTTGATAATAAAGGTAGAATAAGATTTAGATATTAATCCCGAGGAAGAGAAAAGATGATACGACGGCTTAATCCTATGGCAAACCACAGCCTCTCGTCCGATTGTCAGTCCTTGTTTGGTATGGGAATAGTTAGCTAGTTATTTTTGTGTTTTAAAATGCATGGACTTGATGGTGAAGGAAACCATAACCAAACAGCAATGAGGAGTCCAGCAATCCTCTCGCACATACTTATTCCCCACAGGACTAGGACCTGCGAACCCACGCAGGGTAATAATAGGGGCTGTGGCAAGCGTATTCGCATCTCTATCATCAACTTTATTATTTCTTCACATCAAAAATGACCTAGCTATATTATGATGATCCCCAAGTGTTGGTTGAACATTTATAATGAAAATTTTGTTGTAATTCCATAGCTGACATAGACTGGTATCCGGACAAGAGGCTGTGATTCGCCATATGATTAAGCCGTCTTATCGACTTCTCTCTCTTCCGGATAAATATGTTAATCCTATCTTGAATTTGTTAAAAGCTTTATTTTGGAGTGAATTTTGCTGAAAATTGAATACAATTCGATTATGCTTTGACAGGTTATCATGGAAACACACTTGCCAGCTTAACAGATTATAGGACTGATGGTAAAAGTTTGAGCGGTGAAAAACAAGAAATGGAAAACGTAACCAATCGCAGACCTGGAATAAATAGTCCATGCTTTGTATTCCTACAATTGTTTCAATCTGCTGTTTGTACAGAATCAATACACAGGTCAGATGCTGAGTGTTTTTCTTGCTTAGGAAATTTGTGACAATCAGGGCTGGGCAATTCGAATGAATATTCGAATTGAATATTAAATTATTCGAATCGCTTCATACGAGAATTTTGAATGTCCGCCACCTTGTTGTTTTTTTTTCTCCCATGAATTCATATTTTTTCCTATTCATAATTTTTAAAATGCAATTTTGACATTTGACTCTTTATTTTTCGAGTAAGTTATTGATGAAACATGTGTCTTTTTGTGCGTTAACACTCAGCGAACTATCTGAGTGATAGATTAAGTGTTTCACTAATTTATGTATCTGGAGGACCAATTACAATAAACAGCCGGACCTCCTGAAGTATGCGCATCAAGATGGCGCACAACCTGAACTCAGGTTGTGTACCAGGTTAGGGTTCAGGTTATGCGACATCTTGGTGCGCATACTTCAGGAGCGCCAAACAGCCAATACAACTATATGTCTTCCAAGAATTCGAGATTCGATTTGAAAAAAATATTCGGTTCGATTCTGAGATCATCAGATATTCAAAAATGCCCAGCCCTAGTGACGATCACTTTTCTTTGTGGTTTGGCATTACTTACTCAATTTATAACACAACACCATGGATCAAGGAAATCTATATTTATAAACCAAACACTTTTTTTTGATAAAATGGATGCAGTCACAGTGAAAAGTGATTTTTCTCACATCTGAAATAATTTTGAAAATCCTATCATATATTATGACACGATTTAGTCAGTTGAGACATATTTTATCAGGTGCTATCCCAACAGTACAATGTTCTCATTTGTAAGCCTATTAAATTTCGTTCCAGGCCTATACTATTACCTGCTACTCCTGGAATAGAGCGAGGTATCCAAGTTCTAGACAGAATACCTCCTTATGATACCTGGTCAACCGGTGTTGTATATATAGGACCTGGGGAGGGAGGTGATGGATCAGCAATACTTAATAATCAGTGTGGATCACCAAGATATCAGGTATGTTATATTTGTTTCACTTCTATACACATAGTTTGAAATTGTCAGAATGTGCATGGACGTTCAAGTTTATAATCTTTTGTAATCAATAAAAAAAGTGTGATTTCAAGTAGGTCATTGACTATATGATGATATAGACTGAAATTAAAATTGATCAAAACCATATTTACCATGGGAATAGTTATGTACGAGAGATTTGCTCCAAGGTTTTAACAAGGTAAAAAACTGAAAACATTAAGAAAATAGTCACTTATATTCTTTTGTTATTTCATTTCAGGAAATGTTGCAAGGTCTAGGTGAATTGGTCTGCCTTACCGAGTGTGATCCTGTGAGCACATACTTGGGTGGTTTGGATGATAAAGGTGAAGATGGAAATTATACTTATGTTTGGAGAGAGGATGTTGCTCAAATGGTTTTTCATATAACTACGTTGATGCCAAATAAAGCTTCGGAACCAGGTTGTAAAACACGACATATTGGAAATGATTATGTGATCATTGCTTATGATGATGATAATGGAAGGTTGGTAGTTTATTTTATGTGTTTTACAATATTCTTAATCTCCAGTCTTAATAGGACTGGATTCTAGTGGTATAGAACAGGTGTGTGCAATATTTTTTGTTGGTGGGATCTAAAACCAACTTCAGACAAGGAGCACACCAAATGGCGTGGCGGACCGGGCCAGGGCTTGCGGGCTGCTTCTTGCTGCACACCCTTGGTACAGTATATAACTAAAAACAATACTTAACAATTTGATTTGAACCAGCAATAAGTGGTACTATCCTGATATCTGTCTGGTGGTTAATTTTATGTTTTCTGCAATCCTGTTTAGGTTAGGGTAGGATGGATCATCATCTTGGATCATTACTTTGACAATTTGTGAAGTTTGTTACTTCTTGAATTTCCGTGAGACACCGTTATTATAATTTGCCTTCCTCCAGTCTTAGAAAAACCTATTACAATGACTCATTTTAACCACACTTATATTTATTACACAGGTATGTTCCAGGTTGTGTAATACAAGGTCAATTTCGCTCAGCCGAAGTTGTGATCAGCCCTTTGGACCATGGTACTAATCATGTACGATACGTTTTTCACAAAGAATGTGTGGAAAAGGGAATCGGTTCTTCTTTAGGACCATGGCTCGTATCAGATCACAGCCTGCCTGTTTTCGTTCGGCAACTTGCGTTACATGCGAGTATGGCAGCTTTCGTTTGCCTTGGTGAAGGCCGAGGTGCTGCCGAGTACACGTCTAAAACTTTAGCTAGACTGAAGCAGATCAAGCGTATCAGAACAAGGGCATCTCAAGAGGCCAATCAGGACACTCCAAATGTGTCTCCATCAGCCACACCCAAGCCAACTCGACAGGATTCATCAAGAGAAAGTGGGAAGACAACTAAACTTGAAGAATTTTCTGATTATGTGAGATAGTGCAACAAATTTAAGTCAGTATTTACACCACGACTGCGTTATATATATTTGTATGGATGCAAAATAAATTTGATTTGTGAAATGTAGTTTTATTTCTACTCGCCATTTTTATCTCGAGGTGATGAAAAGCTTGGGGCTCCGATTAATAGATTATTGCAGATTTTTGTTTGGCAATTCAGATCGCAAGGGTTACTCATTCGCAGGACACCTAATGAAGGGCAATCTCCTTTTAATTCCATAACATGCGCTGCTTTGTGTATCATGTCTCCTTTCACTTGTGCCTGATACCAGGTATTGGTAATGCGTTCGACACGTATCGCTGATAATCCTTTGTGGGTACCGATGCGTCTGTGTATGGTTATGCGCAAGAGCTTTGACTGAGTATGCACCTGGTTGCACGACATTGTGTGGTAGACGAAGAAAGCAGAATGGAGTTCGAGAGTCGTCGTGAACTTACGGAAATAAAACAAACACCGCAGTTTCATACTAATATTAGTCAAGATACCGCCCAATAATTTTTCAGTCCACAACTGAATAGAAAACAAGAGAAAAATTATTAATATGTCAAACCAGAATACACAATACATAGATTACAAGTATAAAATCGGAACGAGTATTTAATTAAGGTTCACGGCCTCTCGTTCGGTTACCAGTCCATGACGGGTATGAAATTAGTTGGCCAGTTATTTGTTTACGATGCATGAACTTGATGGTGGAGGCAACCGAACAATAGTTACGTGAACCACCCTACGGCAGTGAGGAGGCCAGAAATCCCCTCGTACATAGTTATCACCTTTGGATTCGAACACTGAGTTACAAGAAAACGGGTGGGAATCTATTTCCATATAGGAATCAATTTAAAAACTAAAGTAGTAGCCTAGGCCGTAGGCGATTTTTTTAAAACAACCACAAGAAAAACCCTAACTACAGCAACATTTTAATACAACGAACGATGGTCCACTTTGAGTAATAATTAATTCTAATAATCCAAACAGGTATATATATATATTATCTCTATATATATAAATATCATATGTCAACAAACCATAGGCCAAAAAATTAATTCGAACAAGTTCAAATTGTTTTAAGTGTTTTCTAAATCGCGATATTAAAATTATTAGTTGTTCAATACAATGTGGCATTAATATTGATGTATCATCACACACAATTAGTTTTACATTGTAAAATGGCACATTACCTAACGATTATGTTGTCTAATCGATCAACTTAGAATAGTTACTAACGGAAACGAGTCGAAATAACGAATTGTTGAATACTCAAGTATTCAGAAATGAATTTCCCGAGTATGTTAATACATGCATACGAAAATACACAAAGTGAAAATATAATACATAAGGCGAGTATCCACTTATCAAATATGGCTGGAATCGAATAATTCACTATTCCAAATACTGTTCGAAAAAAGATTCTAGAGTCTGATATATATCGACTAGCCTACATTCTGAATTGAGACATATATTCAAGTGTCTAGCGTCCACATGGGTAAACTACCACCCGTTGGGTATTTCAATTCGCCTGATGCTGCCACAACCAAACTAAAACCGAATTTCGATGTTTCAACTAAAAAAATAGCTCAAGGAATTTGCTGTTATCGCGATTGAATTTAGTCCTGGCATGAGGCCTATTTTTTCCCACTTTTGCTTTTGTAACACTGTAAATATTGTTCGTAAAACTTTTTACGTCACATTTGCATGGCCCGCCAGTTCAGGTGGGCAACATTTTCTACCCCTGATCTGAAAACCTTGACCACGCCTGGTCTAGCGCATTGATTTTCAACATTTTGGGTGTAGCGGAACCCAATTGAAACATTCCAGATTCTCGTGGAACTCCTGAGCGTTACTTACTTAGTTTTCAGCGTCTGAATTTCATAAAATACATACTTTATATATATTCTGACAAAACAAAATGATCTTTAAGGTGTAACAGGTTTATTGATAGTGACAAACTTAATAGGTATTTTATAGTATTTAAATAATATATATATATGTATTAACGAACCAGCATAATGGGTTTTTATTTTCATATTCCAAATTTTCGTCTTGCCCACTTATTCACAAGTTTTGTAACAGCTATCTCGTCTCTGAAGACGAATTTCTATGTTATTTGGACTTGTCAAAAGCATTAAAAAGTTTTTTGTTAAGATTTGGCAGTATGTATACAGTCTTCCAACATGATAGACTTTGTAATCGGCATCTGGTCAGTGCTAATCATTTGAAAAATTAATACAAATTTCCAGACATAATATCTTGCTACCAGCCGTGACTTTGACCACTTGAGCCACTCAAAATAGTGAACTAGGCGTTGAATCTGAAATATCAAGCACCCTTAGGATACTTTCTTCTCGACCAACAGGCGATTGATCAGAAAATTCGAAACGGGGAATAATAAGGCCAGGCTTCAGTGGAAGACGCACGTTTTTCTGGAATGTTGATTTTTAAATCACCTTCATTTTATGTATATTGAAACTTATAGCTAAAAACTGTAAATATGGACAACGGTGATGATGGATACAGATCAGAAAAACAAAGGGCGAAAATCGTAATTAAGTGAGTAGCTTCCAGATTGTTTTAAAATTACTCCTCCCATACATATTAATCGTTTCATTTGCTTGGAGAGATACTTATTATTATTTAATGTATTTGTCGAATAAATTGAAATTTATATATTTTAAATATAAATTTAGTCGGTCGCGGATAAGTTACATAAATGATTGAACAATGTATCATGTTTGAAGTTATCAACAAACTAGAAAAAAACAGATTAAGGTATTTTTTTCCACAAGTGATAACACACAGACGCAGTGTGGATTCTAGTATAACTGTTTACAGTTAAAAATTGACTTTCCGCCCAGCCATTTCATAGAAGTCAAGAGCACTTGACAGCGGTCACGTCGGGATATACGATTTGATAAAAGTACCTTATTGACTTTGTTATTGCCATATATGGCTTTCTGTCGCCATATATTGAATAAAACATTTGGTTGTGCCCGTCTAGCACTGACATGGACAAACTACGACCCGCTGGCCAAATCCGACCCGTTGGGAAATTCAATCTGGCCCACCTGATGATGCCTGATGTTTGAGTTAAAAAATAGCTCAATAAATTTGTTGAGATTGCGATTAAATTTAGTTTTCACACTTACATGGCCACCCAGTCTAGGTGGGCAAAACAGCCCTCTGGTCCAGGAATACCTCACGGTCGTCTCTTGCGATTTTACACGATTAAATGAACGAAGTCATGCATTATGTTTTGTTTTAGACCAGGCTCAATTTTACTTTACAATCGAAAGTTAATTTTGTGAAATTTCTCAAATCTGAGTTTCCAAGGTCCACCACTCAGGAACACAACATTTATGTGACATACATTCCCTTTTTTCGACTAATAAACAAAAAAGCGTTCCTCAATTTATTGCGATAGGGTTGGTAACGAGCCATACCTATACTGCCAAGAATATGCATATACCGCCAACTCATATACAGTTAGAGCCAACCAAATACATTTACTGCCAAGTCATACATAGCCAACTCAATATACAAATATAGCCATTAAGGTGATTCTACTGTGAAATAATATTTTAGGTCTATACCGGGAGCAACAACAAAGAGTAAAAGAATGAGAAAGTGTAAATATGATGTTGAAAATGCGAATTCAGAAATTCAAAATATTTCAACACAAAATGGCGTAACCATGTCAAGCACGCTGTCGCGTTTGTGTTCTGGGATTTATTCCATCCACCTCACCATTCTTAGTCTTATCATTTGCTTGCTGCATTACGTCTCACACCAGGTATGAGTTTCATTGATAGGCATATCCGTAGGCGTAGCCAGGGGAAGTGTATTTTGAAAAAAGCGATTTCGCGTCGTTTGCACTAAGATACAAACTGGTACGACGACACTATTTTCCCCTTATTCGTGAGCGATAACCCGACGTTTTATGACATACTATTAATCCCCTCTCCAAGCATAGGCGCAGCCAAAATTTTCAAATTTTTTTCAAATTGCCGCATTTGCGTGCGAACATAAATTTTCTTTTAATTCAAGTAGGACATAAATTTTCTTTTCCAACACCATTTTTGCTCTATTCTTGAACAATTTACTGAGTGTGGAGCGCTAGACTCTGCGGAGAGCTTCTTCAAATTCAGAAATTGACTACGAATGGGCGCAGGAGCTTTTATTGAGTGCTGAAGATTACCCAAATGTGAGCTGAGCGATCAAAATCATCATGGCGTTACCAACAACAACAAGCTGAGCGATTTTTTTTATGTCGTGATAAGACATATTTGCGCTCGGCGATGACCTAGGATCACTTTTCTTATTTGTGTGTTACTAGCTTAGCTGTCGGAAAGCGACAAATAAACTTGTAGGAGTAGTGGCGAGTCATGTAGTCAGGTTGATGACTAATGGTTTCATGTTTTAAATAAAAATTTGAAGTGGATTCATACTAATGAACCGCGTATTAAAAAGGTGGATTGATTTATGCTTTTATTTCAAGATATCAGAAGAATTTGTCAAACTCTATTTCACTATCCTTTACATCACCTGCTGTATATGGATCATTTGTACAGGATTTCTGGCAACTTCGTTTTGTAGACGGTCCGTTCAACAGAGACACATTTCCGCAAATCATACAACTAATAGATGGCTCAAAGGTTATCATTTCCTCAACTTTTTTTTGAATTATTTAAAAAGATAATATGCATTCAATTTATCTCATATCATAAGCGTAGTCATGTATACTGCGATTTCACAGAGAGTCATAGAAGCCATCCAACTTAGTACAAATAACATGTGTGGCGGCTCCAAAATCGGGGTTTCGGGAATCGTAACCAAACATTTTAAGTTGATGTCGTAAAATAAACAATCGTACAATGCTGCTTGTTGTGGTGATAGGTAGTATTGGGTAAAAGTCCACGAATCCCTACTAGGCCGCGAGCCGAGGCCCTGAAAAACGCCTAGAAAGTGAGTTTCGTAGCGCATATCAGGTAACTACCTGAAAATGATTTTAAAATGTTCCTTAAAAATTTAGTAACAAATATTGCCTTGTTCCCACTTCCAAAAGTTGCACGTTTTACGGAAAAGACGCTTTTACTACAAGAAATATGTGCTACGATCTGTCCTATATTCTCTACATTGTCGGCACTGAACAATGACTTCTGCATGACGTAACAATTGAATTAAACCAGCTGTTAGCGAGCGGATGAATATTAGTTATTTCTGCTCGACCTTGCGCTGAGTTGGGCAGGCTTTCCATAGCCCTGTTTAGTTATTATTAGTTAAGTTATGCTAAGACGTTGTTGAAAAATGTATAAGTAAATTATTAAACACTTGTAGATCCTTACCACGGATATGGGCCGTGAGACGAAACCATGAAAACGCCCAGAAAATGAGTTTCGTAGCGCACATCTGGTAACTAAATAAATTCTTCAGTTTTGTGTGAAAACGAACATAATGAACGCATTACAGCTTGTTCCACAATCCTGGTGCGAAATTGAATATAAGAGGTTACCGGAAATTCAATAACCATAAGTTTACAACGCATACATAAGAACTATACAATTCGAGAGCCCTACAGCACACTAACACAAATGTATTCCTGTAATGTTTTGCCTGACCAAAATCGGACTTCCTCAGTCAATCATAATTTATTAGGTAGATTACGAAAAATATGGCATACATGTAACCAACAACAAAAAATACTTTAATTGTGTGACAGGAGTCGGGAGTGACCTCGAAAGCAGCGACACCAACAACGCTGATTCACATTTGAGAATAAATTTTATGTAATAACCACAAGCAGTTTACAACAAGAACAGCATAAAAAGCTACATCCATTTTATAGAAGCTATCAAGTATCAAACGTATTTATTTTTAAGCAATGAAGTCACAAATTAACATCGTGAGCACGAAAACACAAATAAATCAGTTATTTCTCACTTAGAAATTTACCGCAAAAGTCAAGAAAATTAAATGAATGTACAATATGTACATAACATAGTGAACAGAAATATTACAATTTACAATTAATCTTTTTTTAGTTTATGTGGTTATGTATTTGAACAAAGGCAATAATATTTCTAGAAACAGGACTACGACACTAACAAATGTCCGAAAAAAAAACAAATGTATGATACTTATTAAATCAACTGTAATATCTAATTCACTTTCTTCTGAATTGTTTTCGAAATCCACTATCTCAAAAATCGACTTTTCCTCTATAGGTGTACTGTGATTTCTGCAGTCAATACAAAAACAAAAATCTGTGCAATTTAAGTTGATTTTGCCACACTTTCATAAATTATTTTGACTATTTTTGTTTGCAGTTTGCCAACTCAAGAACTGATTTGAGGGCCACATGCTTCTTCAGTGAATCATTGTTGGGTGGAGAGTATAATCCTTATGTTTGACAGTGTTAAATAGACGTGCCCTGGTATCATTTACATTCTTCATATCCTCTTCAAATTCCTCAGCTTTATTTATTAATACCTCGTTAACCTCAAAAGATCTTCATAGTCGAGGGAAAAAAATGAATTGAAAATCTCAATGAAGTCTCCAACATGAATTTGATGGGCAGTTCCAATTGCAGAAAAGTGCTAAAGTATTTCAATATGAATAGCCCATCTAAGCTGTTTGCAACTATTATGATTCTCATATACCTTTAAGCTTCAAGACTTCTTGTTTAATCCATTTTATAGCACTGATAGCAGCAGGGATCAGAGCCTGCGTTAGGTCGGATTGGTGGAACATTGCCGTTTTCTTTTGTAGTACAGTATCTAAAATAAGGAAGAAAATAATATTTGGAGCAGCATGATTTTAAAAATACCCCTAAATACTAACTAATACCTTGAATACATAATGCATTTTATCTGATGTACTAAATGAGCGTATATATGCTCATTGCATGTTCTACAGTCCAGCAGTGTTTGCATACCATTACTAGACTATATCTACACTAAATTTTGATATATCACAGTCTGAAATGTCCTATGACAGTATGAGTATGGACTATAGACTATATTTTGAAACATCAACTGTTTGTCTACAACTTCATTTCTCACCTCTCAATCATTTCCAATGCTACCTTTCTTTCCACTCCGGCATAACTTATCATTGCTTCCCAGGTTCTTGTCGACTCTATGAATTTAGATTTAGACCAACCGACATTAGTAAAATTGATTAATTTCTTCTCTTTCACACAACCGTGCATTACAGAAACAGCCATTCATTTCTATTTCCAAATATGCTGTGGCCTATATAATAGTATAAGTCTGCTGAATAATCAAGAAGAGTCATTAAATTAATCATAAACATTTCATGCAAGCCAGAAAATATCGTTGTTTGTGACATATTATTCTAGGTCTAGCCTTCCTTGGAGTTACCGCACCGTACGGTACCTATTTAACAACGTCTTATGAGCTAGTGCTCAACTAAAATTGCTATTTATGGCAAGGATATACAAGTGTTTAATATCTTACCTATACTTTTCAACATCTCCTTAGAATAACTGGACTAATATTACCGGTAACTGAAAAAAACTATGGAAAGGCTACTCAACGCAAAAGCGAGCAGTTGAGTACATCTGATATTCATCCGACCACTGGGGATCCACCTACAGCTGACTAACTTGACTGTTACGTCGTGCAGAAGTCTCCGTTCATTGGCCCATGATACCGGAAAAGCAGAGAAAATAGGACAGATGGTAACACATATTTATTGTAGTAAAAGCGTCTTTTCTGTAAAACGTGCAACTTTTGGAAGTGGGAACAAGGCAATATTTGTTACTAAATTTCTAAGGAACATTTTAAAATCATTTTCAGGTAGTTACCTGATGTGCGCTACGAAACTGAAAGATAAATGGCCTCGGCTCGCGGCCTATACTTAAAGGTCGTTTGAGTCCCGAGTTGAGTCGAAGTTAAGTATATATCACATGTGATTGGTTGTTGACGAAAACGAGTAATTCAATTTAAATGAGTCAATTCGAGTTTTTAACTGCAATATATTCATACACTTCTTGATATATATATATTTTAAACTACTTTTTAAACTAATTTTTTTAAACTATATTTTACAGCGCTGCTTATACTTTTCGGCATCGGAATAGTCGTTGAAAATGCATTGGAATTTATGGAATATGTTTACTGTCCAATTCAGTGTGCCCAAATTATAGCAGCAGCTAAGCCGATTGCTCAAGCCATGCTTGTTATTGCTCAAATTGTATTTTTAATTCACTTCTCAAAAGTATGTTTGTTATGTCATACAACAATAAACAGGTAAGATCAACAAAGAGTGGGTAATTTTCTCCATCGTTCTTTCATCATCTAAGGCTCAATTCTGATTTCAGACTTGGTATAATGCACATAATTGCTACAAACTTATCCGTTTGGATACTTCTTGTTATTATGGAAATCTCGCATAAAGTCCACTATAGGGAAAACTACGTTGATGATAAAATTGGATATTTGTCCAACGAGGATAATGATATGCTCATCACAAACAAGGAATATCACGATGGACATGAATATGAACCGACTACGATTGGCATGCCACTCAGGAACAATATATCTCATCCTCTCCAAAGAGGTAGATATGCCTAAGTCCTACATCGTTTTAGTTGAAAGTGTAAATATCAAATAGACGATAATATAGTGTTGGATCTTTGTGGAAATCCACTGTTATCTTTACAGGGAACACTCAAAAAGAAAATTGCACTTGTGACCAAGGTTACTGTGATACTATATATTCTGTGCAAGCATTCCTCTATCCATTTGTTATTGAGTTCAGTCTGATTGCCAGCTGCTTGTCATTCGTTATTTGGAAAAATGTTGGATCTCTTCCTCCTCAATTTGAGCATGTTATAAAACCCAATTATAATTTTTTCAAAAGTTATAAAGGTAAGTTTTTAACGTATCCGTGTTATTGACTTGCTCTAAAGTTTACAGCTAAAACCTAGTTGTGATCTTGACCCTAATATTTATGAATCGAGAACCAGAGAATTACAGCTACCGGTAAAACGAACGAATGTCAGCACTGTGGTCATTCATCTACCTATATAGGTGCCTCGATTCTCACTAGCAACTCACAAGTAACGAACTAAATTTTCCAACCAATATATCAAATAAGTCAAAATGTCGCCGATTTTCGTCACGGCTGTCCGGCTTGTAAACTGAGCTCTCTATAATCCTGCAATCTATAGTGATGTACGCGTCTGATGCTTATAACGGTCGGTGTATTTTGTACGAAAATCTTTTGTGAGTAGCTGATTTTTATATAATTCATAACTTAGCCTACTCTAAACATTTTCCGGAGCATATCGGCGAATTCAATTTACTACAGTCTCAGCGCAAAATTACACATCGCATGCGGAAAGGATGGATATTTTCCCGATGCTTGACCCAAAACAATCCTAACAAAATCCTACGATTGCAAAAAGTTTTATGCGTATTATGATAGTATTTTCGAGACCTGGCACTCACGAACTTGTTAATAGCCATAACATATGATTTTTATAACCATTATTGGAACGAAATGTACATGCTTCATGGATCGTTTTGTTATTATATTGTTGTTGTTTTTGTTGGTATTTTTCTTTTAATTGTTATGAAAAAATCGCTGGACTAATTGCTTTTCAGAGAATAATGATTAGGCTTACATTTTCGCAAGAAGGCTGTTACTTTTATTTATTTCAAAATTTCTGTGGGATCTATGGGATTCGACTTTTGTGTGCGATGACGTCATCGAAAATTGTAGTCGGCTATCACAAATTCGCTTCTTTCGCTTTGAAGTTTGTCTCCATATATCCAATCATCGCGCTCTTGTTTTGATTTAAAATATTCAACCACATGCAATGTATGTTGTGAAGTGCTGGTAACTAACTTAAGCCCAGTCTGTCGTATTTTGCTCGGAACTTATTCCTGATTATTCCAACAAAAGTTATCTTTTTCAACGTCAAAATGACTATTGCTTGTTTGACTACTCGAGTTCCATTGTTGATTTCATATTTAGGATTTATTGCTGGTAGCTTTGCTTTAGTGACAACTGTCGTATTTGTAACTCTTTTCGGCACAACTGCGAATGACCCCTCAAACGAATCAACGGGATATATCGTTTATCATTTATACTTGGTAAGTAACAATTGAATGTTTGAAATCAGGCAATCTTAACTGCACCATAACGTAGAAAAATAGTTACTCCCTAAGTATGTGAACCAAGAGGGTGTACACCGGAACGTAGTATGTGTACTAGGTTAGGCCATAATTTCAGGCACTAATACTTCTGGAGTCACTTGGCCAGTGCTCGAACTCGTAATAGAACTAAAATAAGGAAAATTGGAATAAAATTATAGTCTGACCCTAACCTGGTACACATACTACGCCCCGGTGTCCGCCATCTTGGTTCACATACTCCGGGAGTATCGGAAAATATAATACATTTTTTTCGTTATTCATACAATTACACTTCTAGATCATAATGACGTCATTGATGCTCGTCGTCAGTGTTGCTGGAATTTTTCTAATGGACAAAGACTTGCGCACAATGACACTGGACAAAGGCAATCTTGATATCGTAGTTATCTTCATCACTTTATCTGGTTGCGTGGCACTGAACATTTGCTCAATTTTTTACGACATAACCGTAAACAAAAAATTAAAAAGTTTGAAGATCGTTTTGTCGAGTATAAATATTTTACAAAACATTGCACAGGTATGTATGCAATTAAACACCATTAAAAATTCATTAAAATTTTTTTAGCGTTAGAAAATCGACGATTGGCCAAAGAAATAAGAACGCCATGACTCGCTGATTACCCAGGGGCCAGAATTGCCTGTTTAGGTATACTTACAAGAATTGCCGATTCCATTCTGTTTTATTATCTACAATGAGACGCATTTACATAGTATCAATAATGGTATCTATATTTTATATCTATCTATACAGGTATTGTTGATATATCTCGGGATGATGAGAAATCCGATGACAACTCCCGAGGCCAGTAATACTGCACAACACGTTTTACGAACAATGGAATTTGCGCAGCAGATATCCAACGATCCGCTGGAAAGTGAGATGCACATTAGGCATCATTTGAATCGAGTATCTGGTGTTTCTATCTTTAAAAACATAGATTGTGAAGACAATATTGAAAGTAAACAACTAGAAAGCGACAGTACAACCATGCAACTTTCTGAATCTAAGCGTGAACACTCAGAAAAATCGGAAGTAAATGAGTGTATGAAAACGGAACAGAATCATATATTTCGTAACAAACAATGTGGTCTGCCTGGTATGCCACCACCCAAGGAAGAATGTTTGACAGATGAAAATATCTCTTCGGGGTTGGGAATGAGTATTGGCGATTCAGAAGGCGTTAGAAGCAGTTCTCTGGCATCTGGATGCAAAAAGCCAGTGGAAACGTCTATTGATACGTTCAACAAGAGAAAGCATTCCAGAAAAATTCCGATTGTAGTAATTACTAAATCGAGAGTCATAGAACCGAATAGAATCCGTTTGTATATTCGCGATATCGCGATGTTTTTGTTGATATCAAATGCCTGTCTGTGGATCTTTGCAACAATGTATGAAACAAGATTTGATGTGTTTCATTTAGGTCACCAAACCAGTGACTTCAGCCTTCCCCATGCAATTATAAATATGATTTGTTTCCCACTTAGCATATTTTTTCGCATGCATTCATCAGCATGTCTTTTTGAAGTTTGGTCATATGCATGACAATTTTTCGACATATTACTGTAATTCTTTCCAATTGTTGTGGAATACATGCCTTCCGCATTTAATTACGCTTAGAATATTATTTGTTTCCCGCTTAACATATTTTTCGTATGTATTCATCGGCATTCACCTGAATTTCAATTATAACTAGTACAAAAGCTTCAGATCTCTAATAAAACAGTAGTTTTAGTTGAGACTTTTCGACGAAATTCATTTCTACAAAATACATGCATGTAGGCTATATTGCATAATGTTGGATTTTATTTTTCGATACTATTAATGAGACATGAAGACCCCGATGAAATTTGTTCGCGACTCGCGGTCGATATTCATTGTTCTAGAAATCAAAATATCACGAAAAAAAAATGCACGGCAATGTAATATTGCATATCATTGTTATACATATAGTAACACAAACACGCACAATCAACAGCAATAAACAAAAAGAGATAGTATACCAAGAAAAAGATTCCAAGTTCTAATTTTACAAACTGGAGCGATCAGATCAAACACACAACAGTACAGAACCTTCGGCATGGAGTTTAGTATAATGTATCACATAATTGTGTATTCAGCTGCTGAATGAAGATTCAAGCAAAAACCGGTCTTCTGCTATCCAAGGAAACGATTAGATACCACATTGTGCTCAATTTCCTCTCTATGGGATAAATATATAAATACCAACCATGAATGATAAGTCGGCTCATATGACGAATCTTATTTTTAAATATAATAAACTTGACGTTTAATTGTTTCTGATCGTGGTATTTTAGAAAATACGTATGGTAATTTACGGTAGATGTTCCGAGAACGTTTTTGATTATCGTTTATGACTCCGGTGGGAGCAACCTTGACTCCTGCTCTATTCCGTTTTTCATCGAAAATCGATAAAGCAAACATGTAGATGCAGAGTGCAGACATGGGGGAGCTGTTGACATACGAATGCTGAAATAGTTACACATTTTAATTTCGACGGGCACAATACAATCCGGGACTAGACTGACAGCAACGCAGTTTATTAACATTCAGCCTCGGCGGTGTGGTGGATCGTGCTACAGGCTGACAGTGCTAAGCGTTACCGGTACTGCGTTAGGAATACCGGTACGGTAATTACGATCGCCCGAAATGGCATCTGCGCCGCCGATAACGAACTTGCTAAAGCCGGCGATCTCTCTCCTATCGTGATCGTTGCGCAAGAAAACGAGAGAAATAGCTTGCTCGATTTTGGGTGATCGTCGACGCGTTTTGGACGACCATCCGCATACTTCGGTGGTCCTTATTACGCCAATGTGACGTCGGAATGACGTAATTTTTCGGTGACGTAGTCAGGTGGGGGTTAGGATTGACATATGCAAACATTGTTGAGCCAGGCCAACAAGAAGTGGTACCGGTACTAAACTATACCAGACACGGAATACGTGCGCTCGCCAGCTCCTATTTTATACAAATTTTGAAATAGTTCTATAATTAGATGCTTTTTGAATAGAATCATCTTTTATGAATATTTTATATTATCGTACTGTCGGATCATACTTTATTCAGATTTAGGTATAAAATTTAATATATAAGTAATCATTATTAATTACGCAATGATTTTTAATTGTAATAAATAACGACCACTCTCCATTCTGATGTAAAAATAGTTTTTATTTTCGCCCTAATCGGTGTAAATAAAAAAAATGGGGACTCTAAAGATGAATGAACTCTCCCCTGAAGAATATCATGAGAAACTGTTAGATGCAGTCAAGGCACAGGTGAAAGCAATCATGGAGGAGTCTGTGACCAAAAAATTTGTTCATGAAGAGAGTGAACATGTGTTGAGATTATGTACTACAGTCAAAATATGCTTATTGGATCGATTAAGAAAGAAAACGGCTGGATTTTTGCGCTCAAATACCATTGCAAACCTTTTTAACAAAGTAGCAAAAAGTATACCTGAAGTTCAACAACTCGTCGTAAAAATCGAAGAGGCGGAATCAGCCATTGAAAGTCAAGCAGCTCGGGAAGAAAATAAAGGACAAGTGCAATCCATGCTTAATAGACAGTTAAAACAAATATGGGTAAGACTTGCGCTGACAGAAAAACTTCTGGATAGAATTGTTGAATATCTTGTTGACAATTGCAATAAATATTATGAGAAGAATGCAATGCTTTCTGATCCAGTTCGAGGAAGAATTCTATCTTCACTTTTGTTTGGACCTTGTGCTTTAGAATACACAAAAATGAAGACGTCTGATCATTATTGGTCTGATCCTCCAGCGGATGAATTACTACAACGACACAAGTTACATTGCCATAATAAATCAACATCGCCGTTTCGACGTCCTACTTTACAATCAACATCAAAATATGCTTCTTATGATACCAATGACAAAGGAAATAATGGAAACAACTCCGGGAATGCTTTTCGGGAATATGTTGAATCTTTGCATCAAAATTCCAAATCTACTTTGCTATATGGCAAAAATAATGTCGTTGTTCAACCGAGAGAAGAGTTGAATCCTATACATGGCTACCTATCTCTGCATCAAATTGTTGACGCTCTTTGCATGAAATGGACACCGAATCAGTTGATGAATGTCGATGAAGAAAAGAAAAGTGTGAATTGCAACCATGAACCAAATTCGAATGAAGAAGGTAAAAATTGTGTGAAAAATGTAGCAAATTTAGAAAAAAAAAGTCCTGGTCACACTAATAAATTTCTCAGACAAGAGTATTCCAAGGCGGCTAAAAATCAGTTATCGTACTGGGAATATGCTATTAGCGTTGATGTACAAGATATTGTGTATCTTCATTGCCATCAAAGAAATGATGCAGGTGGGACATTGGTGCTTGTAGGACAAGATGGCGTTCAGAGCCCACCCATTTGTTTTCCACCTGGGGGGCATTTGCTGTCTTTTTTGACATGTCTTGAAACGGGTCTACTGCCACATGGACATCTGGATCCTCCTCTGTGGTCACAGCACGGGAAAGGTAAAGTATTTCCACGGCTTCGTAATAGATCATCTCATTCAAGCTGCAGTAGTGGAAGTCAATCAGAAGCCGAAGAAGTGACGGATTTTGTGTTTCGGGTTACGACCGGAAAATCAGTTCTATATCATGAGCCTGTTATTGAAGCAAGTCCAAGTCATGAAAATCTTGATGCTTATTCAGTTGGATCAGGTTATTCGTATTACGGATCTCAAGATTCTGAGTATAGTGGGAAATCTGCCTCCAGTCGCTCAACAATTCAAGTTCTTTGCGATACAATGAGAAGACAACTCATTTCTAGAGCTTTTTATGGTTGGCTTGCACATTGTCGACATTTATCTACTGTTAGAACGCATTTATCTGGGTTGGTTTTATCTGATAGTTGTCAACTACTTGACGATTCTGTGCAACCTATCGATAAAGAAATTTGGGAGTCTTTTCTGGATGATGGTAAAATAAAAAGCGAATCTATGTTGATGAAAACTGTGTATTTCGGGGGAATTGAGCATTCTATGAGAGCTTCTATATGGCCGTTTCTTCTCAATCATTATCCAGTTAATAGCAATGAAGTAGATAGAGAAAACATTGACATGGAGAACAAAGTAAACTACGAGCAAGTTGTGAAAGAATGGAAAGTCGTTGAAAAAATAATAAAAAGACGTGAAAAGGAAACTCTCGCAGCAAAACTGTATACAGACAGTCGAGAGAGTTCTGTATCAAGTCTAGACGGCCCAATGAAACAATACTCCTTAGCATTGAGAAAACAGTCGACTTTTAGCGATGTTTTCGCATCTTTGGAACACGAGTCTTCAACACAGCCCAATCCTTTAACTGATGTATCTGAAGGTGCTAATACAAATTTAGAACAGCGGAATGAAAATATCCAAGCCAAGAGCATAATTCAAAAGCGACATATGCTGAAAAAGGGGTTTCGGCAGCCTCGCAGTGATACTCGACGAAACAGTGACCATACACCGTACTCATCTATCAGTACTGAACCTTCAACTATGGATCGTAGATTGTCAAGTCTGACTAGCCTAGATACTACAACCCAGGGAACTGAAGAAGTGTCCAGACGAGACAATATTCTTGAGCTCGACGAAGATGAACATTCATCTAGCGAAGTACAATCGAGTGCTAGTGATTCGGATACAAAGTCTTCCAACAGAAAAACACCACCCTTGAAAAAACAAAATGGCATTGATTTAGAGAATAATATAAATCAATCAGTCACTGCCAAAGAGAGTGAGGAACAAACCGATAGCACTATCGAAGCATTACCAGAAGATCAAGAAACTTCTATAACTGATACCGATTACTCAAATTACACGACTGAATTATTGGACAGTTTTTCTCTAAATTTACATAGAATTGAAAAAGATGTTCACAGATGTGATCGTAATCACGACTATTTCACAGATGGTGCTAATCTTGAAAAGTTACGCAACATAATGTGTAGTTACGTGTGGAAAAACTTACACATTGGATACATGCAAGGAATGTGTGATCTTGCTGCACCATTATTAGTTGTAATGGATGACGAAAGCCAGGTGTATAGCTGTTTTACTCAACTCATGAAACATATGGGGAGTAATTTTCCAAATGGAGGTGCAATGGATTCACATTTCGCCAATATGAGATCTTTAATTCAGGTTTTGGATTCTGAATTATTTGAGCATATGCGACGTAATGGGGATTACACTCATTTTTATTTCTGCTATCGTTGGTTTTTACTGGATTTCAAGAGAGAGCTTTCGTATGAAGAAGATGTGTTTGCAGTTTGGGAGCGAATTTGGGCTGCACGCCGTGTCTGCTCGGAGCAATTTGTTCTCTTTTTTGCATTGGCACTTCTTCATAATTATCGGGATATCATTTTAGACAATGAAATGGACTTTACAGATATAATCAAATTCTTCAATGAAATGGCTGAACGACACAACGCAACAAAAATTTTGAAACTTGCTCAAAATTTTGTATATAAAGTTCAAAGTATGATTTCAAAATAGTAACTGTCAAGAGAGCTAATTTGTATGTAAATAAGCCTAATGATATTTGTACTGCCAGAGGATTTCATAGATTAGATTTCTCTAGTTTCAATTTTGCATTTCCAATCAACTGGATATGATCAGCCATGCTAAACATAGATTCCAAAATAATTTTAAAATTTTGATCCAACACTTAGCTTGACTTTGCAGTTAATGAGTGTGACCTCATGATTTAAATATTGGTATTTGAAGTATTGTTCTTTGTAAATATAATCGAATATGAAATATGACGCCTCCACAACAATAATATTGACATAATATGAAGTGTATTGATTCAAAAAACATCGCCATCGATCAATAATATTGAATAATTTGTCTTCAGAAACATTTTCTGGAATATTTTCCGGATCATGTAATCTAATTTCAGACCAAGTTCCAAGGTGATTTTAACGCAAATCAATACATTCATGCCCAGACTAAATTATTGAAAATAATAAAAAAATAGGGAATGCTGTAAGTAGTAGGCTTATTCTGATTTTGTTGACTATAAATTATATAATGTGTGTTATGACATTTTGTATATTTCATTGTCATTCCAAATTTTATAATGATAGTTCTAAAATTACTGATTTTTATTAATGAAAAACTTCTCATATATTGGCATTCCAGCAAGAAGCTACTCTTTTCCTTTATTGACTGTATATACTTTATACTCATGTCCAATTCAAAAATAACTGTACAGTTATGAATGTGCAAGTTCCGTGTCTTCGTTCATAGTATGTGTATAAATATAATATATATATAATGTATCAGTCTATCATAACATTTGTAATGTGAACATATTATTATTATATCATGCAGTTCCTTTATTGTTTATATGAACCAATGGATTTTTAAGAATCACACAATAATGACAAAGCATAAATTTTTTTTTCAATAAGGTGTCTGAATTTTTTTTAATACCTTTACAATAGCCAAATGTTATTTAAACTCAAATCTATAATCTGAGTCATAATCATAGTAATATGTTGTCATAAATCATAATTCTATATATGTTGTATATTGTGAAGTATCATGTCAATATAGCTTGATGATTTAACATTATGAGTAATATATTCAAATGATCAATATTTTATATATTATAAAGGTAGACTTGATCATAGGAGTGAGCACTAGTTATCTATGATGAAATTTATTCAAAAATGTTGTATATATGCCATGGACTTGTTTTGACCTTCTTGTTTTATCAGAAATAAATAAATTCCGCATGTTTGATTTCAATCTCCAAAACTACAAAATTAAAAGTACCGGTATACAAATTATTTATAAAACTAAAAGTCACTTCGGCGACAGTTATAAATTCAAAATAGATATTAAATTTTACAATCATTTGTGCGTTCGCTACCTGTGTGACATATGCATTCCTGAGTGGTATTGTCATAAAATCCATCCATTCCAATTACAGTAAAATGGTTTTGCATAAATTATTTATTTGTGAATTAGAAGAATAATAAACAAGGCCATGCCATTATTGATTTGAATGTAATAAAAGCGACATGAAATTATTTCAGCCAATATTTCCTGTTTCTCCTTGATGTTTTATATAATATTTGTATGTAGTTTATTACTCAAATGTTTTTCTTTTTTGAAAATAATCAAGGTACATTGAATTGAAAAAATAATTGAATAAAAAAGAAACAGTCTCCTTTTTTAAGCTGTATTTGAATTATACGCTTCCAACTATAATAGCCCAATCCTGTTTCAATATTACAACTCAGGGTCTTGTTATTATTCATTTGTGGGCATATGAGAATTCTAACATTTATCTGCTTAATAACTTCAACTAGGGTTATTCAGAATTCTCCATCTTGAATTTGTGCATGTCACAAATCAAAATTTATTTCAATGATAATTTTACTGCAGTGGCAGCCAGCTCTTTGAACATAGTTTTTCATTTTTAATTGAGTGCTCCTTGCTTTTTAATATAGCAGTCAAACTTTAAAGTTCTTTCTTGAAACAATCTGATATTTGTACAGAGTAGGGTATAGTTTTAACATTTTCTTGTTTTGCAGTTTATTTTGTAATAGTTGATATATTTTCTTTTTACGTTGGCACTTGTTTATCTGCAATATTTTACTACATGCTCTATATTTTTTTCTTGTATACTGTTTAATAAACAGGGTGATTTTGAAAAATGCAATTTAGAATTTGGCATGAAATATTAAAAAAAAATTATCTGTTCAATTACTATTTATCCATTTTTGTTAAAAAGGATGTTAAAATTAAACAAAAATGATGATTTGGATGAATATTATTATCAATTTCAGGATTGTTATACCGTTAGTTCATGGTATGTGGTCATTCATGGTCTGTCATGCTAATATTATTTATTAACAATCCTAGTTCGTCCCATTATCTATTGTAAAATCAATATATTGTGCGAATTGATCTAATGAAGAAGACTGGGTGCTTTCATTCAGCATAATTAGGAAGGATTAGGAAATATAAATAAATTTTAAAAATGTCCAGAAAATGTGCTTGATTCCAAATTACTGTTTTTTTGTCATTTAGTGAGATAGTCGTGCAAAAACCTGATAAATTCTTGTTTTTTAAATTCATTTTAAGATTACTTATTCGTTGAATATTGAACCGTTTCTGAATTGGATATGTTTAAAACATGAGAAAACCAGAAATCGATATACCGGTATCTTCGAAAACAAAATTACAGTTAAAAGAAGAAATGACTGGTTTTCCGATATCACTACCACAAATTTCTTAGCAAATCTTATTCCAAAAGATTTGTTTGTAGCATGTTTTAGTCCTTCATTCACCCTGTTTATTATTCTTTTCCATTTTTCTACTACTTATTATTAGCATACATTTATTCATCATCATTATACATTTCTGACAAATTTTTGTACTGTGCACAATATTGCAATCTAGACAAATATTTTCAATGCATTACCATTTTTGGATTTTTGAACTATCAACTAAATGCAGATTTGTTTTATTCATAATCACTATATTTTTTGTTCCATATTTTCTACATCGTAATGTATGTTTGTGAATTGTGGAATAAATCAATAGCATGGGATAATCAGCTATGTTGGAATACATCTAATGATACAAGAAGATATTCAATCAAATATCACGACATAAGGTAAATAAATCATCCGGTTTCATTGCCAATTCGTTTACCGCAGTGGCTGTAACCGCTGAATAAATTGATCTGATATTAGGTCTCTCATTGAATATTTATATGTTTTGGTTTGCGTTAATGCCAGTTCGTATTATGGTAAATTATTAATATCTGTTTTTATCAAAATGTGGTATTTATTGTGTATATCAAAATTGTATATGTTTTATTGATTTACAATTCACGTTTCAGGTGCATTTGGTTTTTCAAATCATGTGGAAAAATCCATATGTTCTTGGTGGTGCCGGTGGTATAGCTTTGCTGGGTGCAACAATACACCAATATGCAAATTATGTATCAAAAAATACTGGATTTCATCATAAAGATCCAGATCCAACGTTACGAATAGTAGAAAAAGATGTTCTGATACCAAAATACATGACTGATACAGCTCAAAAAGTAAAATGCAAAACTGAATCAATTGCTTTTCATAATTGTGTTCTGAAAACAGAACCAAATACTTGGGCAAGATTCATGACATTCAAATCCTGCAAGAGAGAAGCCGATGCAAAAATGGAATGCATGAATAAGTGGTTTATGGATTGGGATTTTTATTTAGAAAACAAGAAAGCATACTTGGCCGAAAAGGCATTGTTCAAATACACAAAAGTGTGTAAAAAAGACAGAAATTTGGTGAAAACATCAATTATCGAAAATAGTGAAATGCAAGGTAATTTAGATGAAAATGTTCAGAATTACCGAAAATCCGTTAAAGATTACTATGAAAGAACTGCTGATTTAGATATATTTGATAACTTGATTATTATGGAATATGAACAGAAAATGAATGAAAAGATCCATAAGCTAGGAGGAAATGCAACTGTAGGAGTTGTTTAATAATCGTTACATTTCACTGATCGCAGTTAGCTCATTATATCAGTCTTTTTACAAGACTAGGTGGAAAATCAGAATGATATTTATAAAAAGGCATGTGTAGATTTGCTCGAATAATCAGCGTTTACGATTTCTTCCCTTTCAATAAAAACCATGTTTCAATATTTCTGTCCAACATTAAAAAAATAAGTCCTTAATACTTACTATTTCAAGTAGCTATACTAACTTTCAATTGTTCATTCTTTTAGTGTAATACCGGTAAATAGTTTTCGCTATCATATTTGAGATTACAATACGCGAAGGTGTATTAGAGAGTCAATAGTTACTGCTCCCGTCAATGTGGGTGTAGGATATTTAATTTCAAGTGCTGACTTTATTTCCTAACTATATCTATTCTGTGGATAACTCTGGTTATTTGGCAGGCAATTAAATATGGATTAGTAAAATGGTTCTATCTCTTATTCAAATTCTGCTTACTTTTCAATAAAACCACAAGTTATGAACAAGCTGGATGCAAATGATTGTTTTTCTGGTTATTTTTCAGGCATTAATCTATGAAGGTATATTTGTAACCTGGTTATTGGATATCAAAGGCAGAGAACTTTCCTGATTTCTCATCGGTCCCTCAGTCAATGAGTAACACTTGACATATGAATGCAATGCTTGGTGATAAATTACAGTTCATTCTAAATGTTCTGATATGCATAAATCATCAATAGGTTTGGTTATATAATGTTATTTTTCCAGTTTGGATGTCATTTTGTACATCAGAAATTAGTTTTTTCGAATGTATTCAATAAAACATATCATCCGATTATAACAATTCCGTAGAATCCGATCACCATAACATGCAACCTTTTGTCAATTAGTTTTTTTTCCATATTATTATTATAATTAACAAACAAATCTTGGCTTAACTCCTATGATGAGTAAAATCGTGTCCCTTATCTCCTGTGAGAATTAATTAGGGTGTACGAATATATATTTTTGGGATAACGCACCGTTTCGATTATGATTACCGGTAGATAATTTATTTTGGACCCTGCCATGATACAGAAATAGCAACACACGGGATTAGACAAGGCCGTCCCAAAGTGTTGTCGGTGCTGTTATACAACACGGTAACCTTATACCAACCATGATAGCCTATGTTCTAATTAAAAATTCATGTATTTTGAAACACATTAGAATAGTAATTGGACATATCGTGGCAAGCCGATCAATACCAATCTACACGGAGCGCTCGTTTCCCAGCGCCGATTTTAGGTATTTGCGTGTAACATAGGCCTAAGAGTAAAATAAATAACATTGATCACAAATTATATCCAATCCAACAACCAATCGGCAAAAGCGACAATTTTTAACGATAAGAAAGTGTCTTTAAAACCGGTCCAAGTCAAGGGATTAATAAATATAGACATAGTTTATTTTGAAACCTCTTTCAAAAGGAAAGGCAATATTTACCCAGATAAATACAATGACATATTAACAGAAACTTCGGGAAAGCAGACGAGATACAGCATCGCAGAAGTCTGAAATACACGACTGCACAGACGCTCCATCCATTAGCCTTGACTGCAATGCGCCGTATAATACATCCACGTGATAGAATATTGTGGAGAAAAAAGCGAGAAAAAATGAAAACTCACCATCTTCTAGCAGACGCTTTAGACCTGCCGCCTCCCTCACAGAGCGTTCGTCCCAAATCGGAGAGCTCTGAACGCCATTGAAACACTCAATGAGCTCAGACCTAATTTCGGACACGCCCTGCACCACGCGTGATTGGAAGTTCCAACGTGTTGGTGCACAAGCTGGGAGACGGCGGCTACATATCTGGCGAAGGAGGTCAGAGCGCTTCGGCGAAACGGAAAAAAATGAAGAAAACCCCGAAACATTTGCAAAAAATATACGGACGAGAGGGGTATCAAGACACATATTTTTGATTAACGAGGTTAAATTGGTGTGCATAACAATGTAAAAAATGCGCATGAGGAAAATCTTCTTTTATATAAACTTGAACACCATGTTTCGACCCACTCATGACTGCCGCGCCGTCATAAGTTTGAGCTATCAATTTTGACTTCGCGTTGTAAGGCTGTAACACTTCTTTCAGTACAGCCAATATCCCGCAAGCCGCGCGATCAACGATTGGTACAAAGCTGTGAAATCTCTCGGTAGGTCTACCATCTTTCACAAACCGAAAAATCACAGCCAGTTGGGAAACGCACGTGATGTCAGTTGTCTCGTCAGACTGAATCGAAAGGAACTGGCAATTCTCAATTTTCAGAGCCAAATGTTGTAAATAAATTTTATACATTGAGTCGAGCAAATCATTTTGGATATCCTTAGATGTCCCTTTCGAAACAGTTGCGGCATCAAGATGATCTCTCAATACTGTATCTAGGGATGCGGTGTATTCCACCATATCCAAAAATACCCCTCTATTAGAAGAGCCAGCCCGTTCATCGTGCCCACGGAGAGACAGCTCGTGACAACCAATGAACTTCAAAACATCTATCAATCGACCGAGAACATGGCGGTTTTTCTCGACGTTTTGGTTGTGCCGACGAATAGAAACCGCGCGCCTTCATCCAACTGTGCTGCAATATTGACATTTCCGAATGTTCGGTATTTTACTGCATTGTCCAGATGCTCCATAGAAGATTGATGATCCCTGGCACGCTCGGAAAGATGTTTAAGATCTCTAAAACCAAATTTACACCAACGTGAGTCACGGGCGGTAGCAAAAAGTAGGCAATAAAAACAAAAAAGTGCATTTTTGTCCTCGCTGTAACACAACCATTCGTGTTTTTTATACCAAGTTTCTGCGCAGAATGTACGCCGACGCTTTCCTCCGTCATGGGATTGTTTCAGTGAACAACATTTTTGGTTGATAAGGCCCAAGACGTTGTACCTCTAATTTTTGTTCCAGCGGCAGCTGCGAAAACGGAGTGCGAAGTAGTGCATCAACCTTATTCTTTATGAGGTCTAAGGCTAAGAAATGCGAAGCCGGAAAGAAGTGAGGAGCTCAAAAGGAATGTGGAAAATCGAAAGCAAATGGACTAAAGGTCTCTAACTGATTCAAATAGCGAAACAAGCGACAAAATATTGAGGTATTTTTCGAATATTTTTTATTATACCGAAAAAACAACCGGGGCATTGCCCCGGTTGGCCCTATTGACGCGCCGCCACTGCTATTACCAATACCTAATCACGTCCGAATACCGGTACCATCTCCCAACAAGTAATGATTCCCACGGTTTGATACTTTCCCCGGGGAAAGGCGACAAGAAGGCTTGATCATGTGGCGAACCATGGCCAGGTTATCTGTCCGGTTATCAGTCCGTGCTGGGTATGGGATCAGTTAGCCGGTCATTAGTTACGGTTCCATTACATTTGAACCCACGACAATTGCACCTATGGAAATGTTTTACGGATATTTGAACCCATACTAAACCTAACCCATGGATTTTAGCACCCTCATACAGATTGAACCCGCGGATATACGGCTGCAAATGTATGGGTTCAAATGTACGGTCACAATTTGTTACATATGCATGGACTTGATATTTCTGCACATTCACTTCTTTACCGTCGGATTTGACTTAGTACCCCAAATAAAGGAACTATTGATCTTTAACAAACCCGACTGGGTGTTTAGTTGTGTTTTCGATATGAGCCTTTACTTGAGTAATAAACGAATAGAACTGCATAAAGCACAGAATTTAGGTGCCTGCGTGTGTTTTGGAGCATATGCATGTGATGTATCATTCTGATTTATTGATCACTGTCGAATATTATTTGTTCGTTGGTGACGCAATGTTTGAGCCAATTTTTTCTCATAAAGAAACACTGGGTTGGTGGATTATACTAATTAATGGCATTCAATACATAGAGATAATGAGGGGGTGCGATAAGTGATGAAAAATGTAATGAAATATAAAAAATTACGATTTTCGATGAACTAATATATATATATATATATAATATAGTCTACGTATGATTATAATTCGAAAATGCCCAGCATCCGAGATTGGTAGCAAAGAGCAACTGGCGACACATCTCTTGTTTCGTTCAGCGTTGTAGGTATATTGGTGGTGCTAACCCCGGCTGCAACAATAAACCGCACAAACGATCGATTCGAGGTAATCAAGTTTGGCAATAATCAGTGATGGAAATCAAAATGGTACCAACTGATACAGTAACAGGTTCCACTTTCTAAAAAAAACATTATTCGCTGTTTGATAAGGAAAGTTAACATTCAGAAAATGATATCCCTATATCAAATGCATTGGGTTCCGAGGAGACTATATTTCTTTGTTCATTCCGCAAAAGTAAGTTTTACAAGTTCTCCTGTAATGAAAAGTTATTCTGAGCAACATTCAGACATACAGCTGCTTAAATGTACCTTCTGTGAGAAGTATTCTTTGCAGGAAAAAAAATTGAAAAGCATAAAAAGATTCACTACAATCGAATTGTTGAAACAAAAAACAAAATGAAAGCATTCAAATCATGCTTGAATAGACAAATCAAACATTGCGGAGTTGAGATGAAGACCGTGGGCAACGAATCCTACAGCTTGGATATTTCCATTGAACCCCAATCTTAGTTCAGACTTTCCAATTCAACTCTGTAATATGCAACATTTAAATATGGCGATTGTTGTGAATTTAAATCACCAAACTTGAAGCTATTAAAATTAGCTGTGTTATGATATGATTCTGTTGTAAGGTTTTTTTTCTTTCATGTCAGCTATTCTTATGATTGATTTGGACTGTTGGAATGGTAGGGCATCTCATTAGTTTATTAAAAAATAGTGTACCATTTGATTGCCAAATATCCCCAGTACAATACTGGAGACATTGAAGTCGCAGTCAGACATACTAATAATTCCTTATTCTGGTTCAAATATAAAAAGCCATGTAATAGGTATCATTCCTCAAAAGCAAACATTTGAAAAACGAATGTAATTTACAGTCTCTACAATGTTCAAACCCCAAAACAGCTTATCTGTTTTAATAACATTATTTTTTTTATTTTTGAAATATATATTTCAACAATATAACGCGCTCTAAACACCCACCAAAAATGAGACTTTCCATATACATTGATTATAAAGAATAAAAAGCACTCCGAAATAAAAGCCAACCAATATATATTAGACTCATAA